GAGGGGTCCCAGACTGCGAGAGGGCACAGGCCGGGCTGTGGGACCCCCCCTTCCCCCCCGAGTGCACAAATTTTTGTGCACCGGGCCTCTAGTTTAGTATAAAGATCTAAAACTAAAAGGATTTCTAGAAGAAGAAACAGAGAAAGTAGAGGGGTGAAAAACCGTGAAGAAATCATGCAGAAAAATTTCCCAAAACTAAAAGTTTAAGTCTCCAGATCAAGAAGTACACCTAGTTCCAGACACATTGAATGAAAAGAGACCCATCCAAAGCAGATAAAGGAAACATTCTAAAAGTTTCCAAAGGAAAAAAAAACAGTCCATGTATCAAGCAATGGGAATCAGAATAGCATTGAATTTCCTAACAGCAAAATCAGATGCTAGAAGATTGAAGTAACACCTTCAAATTTGGAAAGATAATGACTTTCCTTTGAGAATATTACACAGAAAGAGAAAGACACAGGATACAAGAAACAGGGACTCCAATCAGAAGAGGAGCAAATGAAAGTTACAAGACAACGTCTGTGTAGTAGACTAAACTCAAATCCGGTCATCATTACAGCAAACAGCTACAGGAATTGGTTGCCCAGGAAAACAAAATTGAGAAAAATTGTCATGCTTGACCATAAGTAGTACAAAGAGGGCTTTCATAATGTTTTCAGAAAGTTTAGAAAGAAGAAATAATAGGTACAATTTTTTAAAAACCCTAGGAAAACAAATAAAAAAGAGCGCAATTATTAACTCCAAGAAAAACAAAAAGGTCTATGAGAAAGGAAAGGTAATCAACACTGAATGATTACTATACAATAATAATAATGTAAACCCAGAAACCCACCCTCCACCCCAGTGGGCCCCAGAAACCCACCCACACCTCCAGTCAAGTCCTCCAGAGTCAAGTCCCCGCCCACCCCCCACACACAGCCTCCTGCTGATCGGTTGTTATGGCGTGATGGCGTGACGACCACAGGCTTTTTATATAATAGACTAGAGGCCCAGTGCACGAAATTCGTGCACTCGGCGGGGGTGGGGAGGAGTCCCTCAGCCCGGCCTGCACTCCGGGAGCCCTCAGGGGATGTCTGACTGATAGTTGATTTGCATATTAGCCTTTTATTATATAGGATACCCCTTTGTATTTTATTTCTGTAGACTTAATGTACTACAGAATAATTACACAGTGATGTGTGTATAGAATTTATAAACAAGCCTACATATAATGGAAGCATATTATCAAAAAACTTTTTACTGATAGAATGTCATGATCAAAACATAGAGAGAGTTCTGATTTAGAGATGGTTCCCCACTTATTGTTGGTGAACCATTAATAGTGCATAAGAGTAACACAAATGCTCATGAGTGAAGAAAGGCAGGAAAAAGCTAGTATATCCTTAAAGCATTTAAAAGTTAAGCTATGATTGAGAATTAACCAAGTGTTGGGGGAAAATAATTTTCTCATTTGTAAAATGTTAGCCAACATGAGGCCTATCTGCTACCGTTGAAAATACTTTGGTAAAAACTGATGTTGAAATATATAAATGGCTGAATTTTTTCATAGCCCTTGATAAGTACATTTGTTACCCGTATGGTACAGACCATGTTAAAATCGCTTAACATAACATGCTCACATGGTGGTCATAAAAGCTTGTGTTGATGAAGTAACATTCTACAGAAAGAAAATACCTAGAGACCACTGGTTTGGGAATTAAATTCTCATGAATCCTAAGGGTATTTTATTCTCTCGTGTGGGCAATATACAACTCAATAGTAGCTACTAGTCACATAGGGATGTTCAACTTAAAGTTTAACAGAATTTCAGATTCACATCCTCGGTCACGTTAGCCACATTTCAGGTGACCAACAGTCACCTGTGGCTAGTGGCTGCTCTCTAGGATAGTGCTGATGGTACAGAACATCCCCATCAGCACAGTTCAGTTCCATGGGACAGCTCTGCTCCAGAATATAATTCAGAAATTCTGAAATTCAAATGTTTAAGATGTTCATACTTACTCACTGTTACTTTGTCCTTATCCCCCAACATGATGTTGTTTGGCGTCAGATCTCTATGGATGATTCTCTTCTCCTTGTGCAAGTACCGAAGAGCTAAGCACAGCTTGAAACAGCAAAGACAAAATTTTATTTCCCCAAATATACATATAACCACTGATGAATACTACATGCAGCTCTCAAATATCAGCTCGGATCTTCATCGTTTTATAGGAAAATTTAATGAAAATAAACGTGTACCTGGATAAATATTTTCCATAGTCTTTCTTCAGTAAAATGAAGTTGTTTTTCCTTCAGAGAACTGAAATGTTCTCCAAGAGGGGCTCCTTCTATAAGCTCCATAACTATATACAATCTATCATCTATAGAAAGGAAAAAAAAAAAACAACAAGAAAAAGACAATAGAAATTTAAGCTCAATAAAGATATTTCGGAAACACGTAGGAATTAGAATCTGTTTCCCAATAGGTGTGTAGCACTAAAGAGTTAGAGATGCCTTAAGATATGAATCCACTCAGCCCTGGAGGGGGTGAGAGGTTGGGAGGTGGGGGATCTTGGGACAACTGGAGCCCAGCAACAGTCTCTCCCGGCTACAGCATTAGTTTACACTGGCAACTACTATCATTTGCTATGTATGCTGTGACACAGCAAATGATAGGGAGGCCCCCAAGAGAAGGAGCTAATGATCTCAAGTCATGGAGGATTCCCTGAAGAACATGTAAACCCACTTCATCTCGACAGTCTAATATTTACCCTTAAATCAAGCCAGCCATTCAGAAAACTGCATTTTAAACTGCATTGTTTGTAGTCTCATAGGGTTACCTTTCTGACTTTTACAATGGAATCACACCATGGCCTTGTAATGAATGACAGAGTTGAAATACCACCCAGGGTAGAAATTTCTGTTATGCCCCTCAAGAGCACAGAAAGCTGCGCTTCTCCTGGTTCCACCCGATGGACACTGAAAACCTCATAGCTAATTGTGTTCCTCTCTCTGCTGTGGATGCCAACAAACAAAGGAGAAAATCCTACTTCCTCCTTCAAAACTAATATGAAACTACTCCCAGTGGTATGCACTGTGTACCTTTTGTCATTTTTGGGATTTATATAGAATTTGCATGTACACAATATTTACAAAAACAAAATCATACTACACATGATTTGCAACTTGTAGTGTTTTGCTATGTGTCAGTATACACAGATCCATGCCATTCGTTCTGTTGGTTACATTAGTATTCCACAATACAGTTGGATCATAATTTATTTAATCTTTCTCCCAAGGATAGACATTCATATTGTTTCCAATTTTTCATAATCCCAAGAAATATTTTTATATGTACTAACCTTACCTCTAGCTTTATTCATTTTCTCACATTTTATTTCCTTTTATCACAATTTTCTACTCTGTTTTATTGCATGACCCCTGCTTTGAGGCAGAGGAAGAAATTCAGGACAGGAGGCCCCTCACAGCTCGCTCAGACTCCTTCCCAACCCCAGCCATCTAGTCTGTTCATTCTTCTCATTTTTCCCAACTGTGTCCAAAAAACACCCAGACATGATCCTCAATGACCCCCCTTTATATTCTCACTCGTGCAAAGCTCGGGAATGGACGGTTGCTGTGGTCTAACCAGGAATGGCAGCTCTCTGAGGGGTAGGAGCAAATCCCGCCCCTGCGAGGGAGGGGCAGGGTCCGGATGTGTGCAAGGGCCCAGCTTCTCTTCTTTTTTAAATATATTTTATTGATTTCAGAGAGGAAGGGAGAGGGAGAGAAACATCAATGACGAAAGAGAATCTGATCAGCTGCCTCCTGCACGCCCTCTATACTGGGGATCCAGCCCTCAACCTGGGCCCTCAACCTGTGCCCTGACCAGGAATCGAACCCTCACCTCCTCGTTCATAGGTCAATGCTCAACCACTGAGCCACACCGGCCGGTACTGACTTCTCTTCTTGAATTTACCTCACAGTTGTAGGCTTGTGCGTCACTGACATCACTGTCCTTTTAGAGGAGGGGTCCTCAAACTTTTTAAACAGGGGGCCAGTTCACTGTCCCTCAGACCGTTGGAGGGCCGGACTATAGTTTAAAAAAAAACTATGAACAAATTCCTATGCACACTGCACATATCTTATTTTGAAGTAAAAAAACAAAACGGGAACAAATACAATATTTGTATTTGCATGTGGCCTGCGGGCCGTAGTTTGAGGACCCCTGCCTTAATCAATCAATAAATAAAAAATCAAAACCAGTCTTCTTCCAATTTATTTTGGAGGTGAAAAATGTTATCTAATTCAATAAAAACAACTTTCAATTTTTTTTCCTTAAGAAAGCCACTATCCTTAAGTTTCTTCTCTACAGATCCGAAGTCATTTATGTGTATGAAAATAGCTGTAATAGCTATTTTGGTTTATTCATTCAGTGTCTCTCAGATGAGGGTATAAGTACTTTATATATAACTCTTTAGGTCCCTAATTACATCACTGTTCCACTCATCAAGAAAATGATGCACAAGATTGTCAACTGTCATATAAACAGCAAAGAACATAAATAGGTGATTGAGCTTAATTTTTTTACATTGTAATAAGCAAATATGTAACAAAGATACTTTCCCTTAATTGGAAAAATCATGAAAATTCATACTTACTTTCCAGAAATGTTTTGTAATAGCGTACAACATTGGGATGATAAAGCTATAAGAAAATAAATAACAAGCATTACACTACTTCAAAATACAAACTTTTTACATACTTCATATTTGAAAACAACAAAGAAAGTGTTGTATTTATTTTTATTTCTAAAACTAAGCATTTTAAGTTACCTAGTGGGGTGGGAGATGTGGAGAAGGGTAGAGGGGGGATAAATGGTGATGGATGGAGACTTGACTTAGGGTAGTGAACCCACAATACAGTGTAGAGATGATATGTTCTAGAATTGTGCACCTGAAACCTGTACAATTTTGTTAACCAGTGTCACCCCAATAAATTCAATAAAAAGGGAAAAAAGTTATCATCTAATTCAGATTTTTTTCATGATTCTTTTTCTATGCTACTTACCAAACTAATCTGAAAATAGCAACCTCCTATAGCCTTATCAAATAGAATTAAACACTGATTGTGCTTATCACTTAAATTAAACTAAAACAGAGAATGGTGGAACTAGAAGAAACCTTAAGAATTCATTTAGACTCCCAGGCCCAATACCACACACAGAATGTGGAGGGAGAAAACAAAAACGAAGCAATTCATGGTGCATACAGACCTCCTTGCTCTTTACCTCTCTTCACCAACGAGGTATTTACATTCACTGTTTGTGTCTATTTACACTATCTGTGCCCTTTTATGCTCTCCAAAATGATTAGTAGGAAACTGAAGTGAGAGTTATTAACGCTGCTGAAATTATAATAATTGACAAAAACTCCTTTCTTGACCCTAATACTTTCTTTCCTTAGGAAATGGGCTAAAACAAATAGTCTACCTCATCAACTAGCGAGGCCCCAGCAGGTTTTAAACAATAGGAATCCAGGTAAGCAACCAGAACCATATTCTATACCCAGCTCACTGGCCAGGACTCCGCCCAGACTTCATTTCCAATGAGGATACTGGATCAGCTTAGGGCAGAAGCCGTGTTCCAGCCTGTGTTATAATGAGACAGCACACTGCTGAGATACTTTCTTTCCTTAGGAAATGGACTAAAACAGTCTACCTCATCAACTAACGAGGCCCCAGCAGGTTTTAAAGAATAGGAATCCAGGTAAGCAACCAGAACCATATTCTAGACCAGGGGTGGGCAAACTTTTTGACTTGAGGGCCACAATGGGTTCTTAAAGTGGACCGGAGGGCCGGAACAAAAGCATGGATGGAGTGTTTGTGTGAACTAATATAAATTCAAAGTAAACATCATTACATAAAAGGGTACGGTCTTTTTTTTTTTTTAGTTTTATTCTGTTATAATGGACAGCACACTGCTGAAGGCTAGGCTATACTAACCGTGAGCAAACTATTACTACATAAAGGTCAGTTATAAGTAAGTTAGTTATGATAATATTTACTATAATTTGCAAATTGGAGTAAAGCTGTAAATATCGATGCATAAAGATCATCTTATTCATGGTGATCGCTATGTCCCGGCACAGATGCTGTGCAAACGTAACTAGTGGAGAACGAAGCGCAGGCAGTGGAGGGCTCTCCACGGGCGTATGGGCGTTATAAAAGAACAGCGTCCAAAACGAATGTACAAGGAAGGAAAGCTGAAACAGAAACCCACGCGTTCTTGGGTCCCAAAAAGAAATCCCCCCACGGCTGTTCTAGACCCAGCTCACTGGCCAGGACTCCGCCCAGACTTCAGTTCCAATGAAGATACTGGATCAGCTTAGGGCAGAAGCCACGTTCCAGCCTGTGTTATAATGAGACAGCACACTGCTGAAGGCTAGGCTATACTAAGCATGAGCAAACTACTACTATATAAAGGTCAGTTATAAGTAAGCTAGTTATAATATTTACTATAATTTGCAAATTGGAGTAAAGCTGTAAATATCGATGCATAAAGATCATCTTATTCATGGTGATCGCTATGTCCCGGCACAGATGCTGTGCAAACGTAACTAGTGGAGAAGGAAGCGCAGGCAGTGGAGGGCTCTCCACGGACGTTATAAAAGAACAGCATCCGACATGAATGTGCAAGGAAGGAAAGCTGAAACAGAAACCCACGCGTTCTTGGGTCCCAAAAAGAAATCCCAGTTCTCTTCTGACATGTTTATTCCTTCTCCCCAAACAAACCTTCATAATGGTAGTTAATTGACGTGTTACATTATGTCAGAATATCCTGCTCATGCTAATAAATAACAGCCCATCTGGAAAAGCCATATTTTAGACTTAATAAGCCATATTTGAGGAATGTTAACAGCTTGGTTCCATTGACAAAAGTCAGGGCACTCTTAGTCATATTCTGATGCATGTAACTAAGTAACCAAATATTCTACAATATAAGGAGAGAGAAATGGATATGTTCCCAATGAAAAGAGAAGGATTTTTTCATATAAGAATCACTCTGTGCTGTAAACTCTAATGTTCTGCCCTCCTTGCCCTGATATAAACTGCAGAATGTGTTTCTATGGTTCAATGTCAAGCCTTAGGAAAAAAAAGTTGGCTGAAATATCACCCCCTTAATATGCGTTATTTTAAACAGTAGATCTTAAACAGCCTGGAGAAGAATAGCATAAAAACTTTACTTCCTTTTGATGGCATTTATTTAAGGGAAATACCTTCATAAACAAGAAAAAATATTTACCTGCTCTTTAATTATGGTTAATTCAGAAACAATATTCTTCACACTGCTGTCTCGATCTGTTTTATCCTTTCCAAAGGCTGGGTTATGTAAATTGACTTCTTTCATTGCTAAGAGATTTTGACCACTACGCTTCCTAACCTAACAAGACAAAAAAAAAAAAATGAGGTGGAGGTAGAAAGGGGAGGAAAGAGATACATTAATAAGATCACATGATTAAAGCAAGTCATTTAAATAAGTCTTGGAACTTTTCAAATTTTTTCTGTATTTACACTAAGCTCAGCTCAAACACTGGTATCTCCCAGGTCAATCTGCAATACTACGTAGGCTTTTACTACGTCAATACAGAAACACTGGTGTGAATTAAGAGAATGTGCCATGCATGGGGACAAGCCATTGTGACTATTTTTTATGAGAGATTAATGATGGCTTTTCTCTTTAAAAATCAGTCATCAATTTCTAAGGCTAAAAGTTAAGATAAGACAACACTGATGCAACTATACGGTGGACAAAAACAATCATTCTAATTTTTATATCTATTTTCACTACTTTTCAATGAGGGGGCTCCAACTCAACTGAGTGTGGGTGTGCAAGTGGGACATAATGGTGTGCTTGGGGACATAAGAAAGGTTGTTCTCCAAGGGCAAAGTCACCTTGTAAACACAGCCAAAAGCTCCACTTCCAAGATGATCCAAAATTGCGTAGTTGCCTATATATTTCGAAGGAGCTTTATTCTGATTAATACTTTCAATATTTTCAGCAATTTGCATCCGTTCATCCTCCTAACCAAAAAAATAAATAAAAAGAAAATGGGTTGCTCTGATAAATTCCATCCTGACCACATAGCAGCCTGCCAAAATTTTAAACTCACGACTTACCACTAATAAATTCAACTTTGAGACCAATTCTTCATAAGCACTGATATCACGCACGTAATGTCCTATGTCAATGAAGATCTCAAACAAGTCGGTGGGAAAAAGTCTACAGGGAAAAAACACACACGCACACTGTTGCTCATTCCTTCCATGTTGGATCTAGCTCATTCACAGATTAATTAAAAACACTTCACTTCCTTAAGTTATGGACCAAGTGGGAGGAAATACCAGCTTATCTCACAAAAGTGAATTATAGCCACAGTTCGTAAAGGTAAGGAAAACCAATGGAACGTTTAGAGATTTGCTGTACAGCATTTTTGCTATGGTCAACAGCACTGTATTGTACCATTAAACATTAGTTAAGAGGGTATATCTCATGTTATGTGTTCTTTACTACAATAAAAAAATATGATACAGATTATAGAAATACCTTATTGTGAGATATTTGGAGGTATAGGTATTAAACATGTTACAAAGGGATGTTTACTGGATGTTTATTGAGTACTGGGCACTTTCATAAATGCTATTAGATTCAACCCTCATATGAGCCCTAGGAGGTAAATATTAACACAATTTTTTAATGTCTTATGAAGATAAAATAAAAATACAGGTAAATGAGGAAAAAAATTGAGAGATTTACCATAATTTCCAAGGTATTGGCTAGAGGGTTTATTACAATCTTTATATCCACTCAAAATGAATGATTTGGGGCCTTGAAATTAAAGATTTTAATAAATGAATGATTTCCTTTCCTTCCCCCCCTGCCCCCCGCTAAATTCAAGCACCATATGGAAATAGAATAACAACATAAAATGCTCCATGCTTCTAAACAAACAATATTGCATTAACTCAAGCTTTTCTTTCTAGTTTGCCTTATCAATAACCTTCCTGTAAGATCTTGGGCCTGTGATGTTGGCTAACCTGCCCAGCTAAACGGCATGCAGACCACACCTGTAGGGAGCCAGGGTCTGCTTCCCCAGGCGGTGACTTTTGTCGTGCTCACCAGCACAGCCCCCGACCCAAACACATCAGCCTTCTCCCCTTCCCATGAACCCCTACCCTCTGGCAGACATCCAGGCAAATCCCCTTCTTTCTGCAAGAGGAAATAACTACATCAACTGGAACTTATGAACGGGCTAACCCAAGCACAGGTTTTAATGCCATCCATTTAAAATGTTCAGGTCTAAACAAAGAGAGAGAAACTAAAACTACAGCAGCCACATGTCATTAAGGAGAATTGAACTGATATCATGATTCATGCTCTTCCGTCATGTTGTTCATTTTCAATGTTCAGATATCCCTGGGGTAGCTCAGCTTTCTCTGTGGATACTCCGAAGCCTGGAGCCCCGGGTTCTGCATTCGGACTCATCTTCCCTTGCTGTCTGCATCTAAGGCAGCTCCGTTGGAGACAGGTCAGTCTTGGGAGGGCTGGTCGCTTACATTTCTCGAAGCTCCTACCTTTTGAAGAGCGGCCTGTTTCTTTCCATGCTGAAGAGAAACCTCAAGGCTCTGAAAGCATAACACTGGAAAAGACAAGGACGTGTGATTCTCCAAAGGCAGCTCCAGAAATGGAAGAAAACCTTTCAGGCCAAACTATCAGGAGGTAAACGTTAAAGTGGTTTTATGAGTGTGGCTGATCTACGTGGGAGCCAACGCTTGTTTTTAAAGAGCACTTATGTCGCACAAATGCTAGGGATCTTGGCCTGGGTTCACTCGGGACTTGGCACGCATTCCTTTCTAGAAAGTACCAAGTGAGCACAGAGACAAGAAAGAAAATCCCTCCGCTGAGAAAGCCAAGCGTCCAAGGACTCCGGGAGCGCGGGGTTGGTTTGGTTTCCAGCCTGCCACGCATGCCTCCATGTTTACATGGGTTCCGTGAGGAAATAAACACGAGCCACGATGACACACAGAAATAGCCGCGGGCACACTGGACTCGGACTTGACAAATTGGTCTCTTGGGTCAAGAGTCTTCAGCGCTCCCCAAATAGACCGATCTACAGCCATCCTTGTGAACACTCACAAAGAGGCCTGTGAGACTGGCCTGGAGAAAAAGAAACGTCTGACATTTGGCAGCGCCGAGAAAAGAAAAGACAGCCTCCAGCCTGCGTCTGCACCCGCACCACAGGCCGCCCCTGGGGTGACCCGGGTCTGCTGAGCTTGAGTCTGAAATCGTTTCAGAAAATCAGTGATCTGAATGCAGTGGAAGGTTCACACACACATAGCTGCCCAGGGGAGCCGGACAGGAGCCGTGAGGGTCGTGGCGACTGAGAGAGTGTGTAGGACACGTGTGTTCCTCGAAAGCCATTTTCAATGTGACTTTTTAAAACCCTCTCCTGTTTCACAAAACGCGTCGACAGGATGGGTTTGACTGTGTCTGTGCTTGTTACGTCCATGCTCTAACTCCAGGGAATTCTGTTAGCAGTCACTCCCCCCAAAACACGAATAGTCCTGGGCCCAGGGCTGTGCATCTGCAGACATTGAGAACATTCAGTCCCACGCCCGTGTGTCCTCCTTCGTAGCTCTGCAAAAGCTGTGGCTGCCGGCCCTGAGACCACCGAAGGCTTTCTGCTAGGTTTGCCCACCATTCTGGGAAATAGCTCTTAAGTCAGATTGGAGGCAAAGAAGGTTTCGTACTTTTCTAAATGACTGGAGAAAAAGGATGAGCTGCAACTACCATAAAAGCTTATTTAAAATCTGACTTTATCATTCCAGTTGTCTTCAAGCGACCCCTGATGCCCACTCCTCAAAAAAGCACACAGGAGTCCAGCCGGCGTGGCTCAGTGGTTGAGCATTGACCTATGAACCAGGAGGTCATGGTTTCCAGTCAAGGCACATGCCTGGGTAGCAGGCTCAATCCCCATTGTGGGGTGTGCTGGAGTCAGCCGATCAATGATTCTCTCTCATCATTGATGTTTCTATATCTCTCTCCCTCTCCCTTTCTCTCTGAAATCAACATGTATACTTTTTTTAAAAGCACACAATACCTCACATAATATGTCCCCATCTTATCTATGAGGCCTCACCTCCAGAAGTACCCTCTCCCCCAACTACACACCCAGCTTCACTGAGCAGCCTCAGCACTGAACTGGAAGCTGTCAGGCTCCCACACTTTGCACATACTGTTCCCTCCATGTGGATGCCCTTCCACCCTGTAGCAGATGCTATTGGTGCCCCGCTCATATCCCTGCATCCATCTGGCCAGTCTTTCCTCATCCATCGAGATCCCTTTACCAGCAGTGGTTCTCAATCTTCTGGCCCTTTAAATACAGTTCCTCATGTTGTGACCCAACCATAAAATTATTTTCATTGTCGTTTTTGGTGCATTCTTTTGTTTGTTCGGTAAAATCAATTTTGCTATGGTATACACACCATTCTCCTGGAAGAATAAAGGGGCATGTGGTCAGGGACCAGGGACAATGCCACCAAGACACACAAGCATAAAGAAGCAACTGAACAATCCCCCAAACTGATGTCATGTGATAGTTAGTATAATCTGGGAGCTTCAAGTAAATATGACAGGACAATACTAAAAGTGTCAGTGTATCTTTTACATACCAAAGACTACAACCACAACCTTAAAACCTCAATTGTCTTTAAAGATTATAAATAATAAAGTATATTAATCTAATACTTTATGAAATACTTTAGAGTAGGGGATAGAAAGGTACTTAAATATTTCGATTGTCTTTAAAGATTATAAATAATAAAGTATATCAATCTAATACTTTAGAGTAGGGGATAGAAAGGTACTTAAATATCTCTTTAATCTATATACACTGACTTTTAAATATCTAATTATGAAAGGTAATTTCTCCTTTTGTAGTTTTTTAATGAAGTAATATATCTGTTAATTATTATGGAAAAATAAAAGAAACAAGAATAATAATTGTCAAGGATTGTGAATAATCACATTTTTACATTTAAAAACTAAAAAAAAAAGAACAAAATGAACATTATTCATGAAAACACAGTTAACATCTTTCTAAACTTCTGTTCTTTTTAAGCCAAGTTAAAAGAAGGACAAGAATAAAAATGGAATTCTATAAGTTAAATAAGACATATTAAAAGATTTTAAAACCATGTGATGGGATCCCCAAAACTACGTTCTGGGACACAGAGCTGGACTGGCCCAGGGAGCCCCCCCCTCACCTCCCTCCCGGGCAGCGGCAAGCGTACCTGAACCACCTGGTGGGCGTTGGTGTCGTTGAGCACCAGCTCGGTGAGGGCCGCACAGCAGGCTGGAACGAGAACCGCCAAGGTCAGGTCTCATCGCTGTGACTGCGGGACCGCACGGCACGTCACCATCTAACTCCAGGGAATCTGTCAGCAGTCAGCCCCAGAACACACACCTTCCTCAGGCCCGGCTCCGGGGGAGGGGACTCTCCTCTGTATGTAATGTGTGTACACGTACAGCCCACAGAAGCCTTTTTAGTGAGCACTTACTGTGCACCAAGAGGCAGGGACCGGATCTGTCTGGTTCACTGGAATCCCCAGTGCCAACATGTGCCTGCCATTGAGCAGGTGCTCAACAAATACACCCACACTGGTTGAATGAATGAGGTCTTTAAGTATATTATCCAAACTGATCCTTATAATCAGAGTACGTACAATGATTACCAGTTTTACTGATGAGAAAACCGAGGTTATGAGCCTAGGCCACAGAACTATTAAGTGGAAGGGGCCAAGGGTCCGAACCCAGCCTTCCCAGTAACAAAGCTAACATCCGCTCTCTTTCCGTCTGACCTTTCTGTTGACCTCTTGGTGTGTGTAGGACGTGGAAGGGGGAGGAAAGTTTGTGCTGTCATGAACCTGCAAGTCCAACACTGGTACCAACAAGTTTCGGGCAGCCACATGGATTTAATTTCACTTTTTTTAAAACTTATAAATCATGCCTAATTAATACTATCATACTAACTTTATAAAGAGAATAATAAGCCCTAGCCAGTTTGGCTCAGAGCGTCAGCCTGTGGACGGAAGGGTACTGGGTTCGATTCTTGTCAAGGGCACATACCTCATTTTCAGGTTCCTCCCTGGCCTGGGCCCTGGTTGGGGCTCATGCAGGAGACAACCAATCAATGTGTTTCTCTCACATGGATATTTCTCTCTGTCTTTCCCTCTCTCTTCCACTCTCTTTAAAAATCAATGAAAGAAGATCCTTGGGTGAGGATTTAAAAAAATAATAATAAATAAAAAATAAAGAGAATAATCAGATAATAAATATTAAACAGTACCCAATAGTAAAACATAATAATATGCTATAAATACCTGCTTGAAGAGAGAAAGTATTTTCTTGTATTTCCCGAGGGCTCAAGTCTTCTGACAAATGGAGCTGCTGGATGCGGCCTGCCGCATTCGCACTGGACAGGCTTCCGATGGAAGAGCGGTCAGAAACAAAATTCCTATCTCTGGAAGAGAAAAGTTAGTGCACAGATCAGTTTAACAACTCTCCTTCCTCGTCAGTGCTTTCTGAGTCCTGTTGAAGAAATCTTTGCAAAAATAGAGCGAGAGCGAGAGAGAGAGAGAGAGAGAGAGGAGTGGAGGAAGGAAGGAAGGAAGGAAGGAAGGAAGGAAGGAAGGAAGGAAGGAAGGAAGGAAGGGGCCTCTCCCAGGTCATGAAGTTTTCTTCTGTTATCTTTATTGTTTCACCTTCCAATCCACCTAGAATTGTTTTCTTGTATATGGTGTGAGGTAGGAGTCATTTCTTTCTTACGTTCCACCTTTTCTTTTTCTTTTTTCTTTTCTTTCTTTCTCTAAGAATATGATTACTGAACTGACTCAGCACAACTTATTGAAAAGACTGTCCTTTACCACTGTTCCCTTTTGATCTTGAACTCTATCCTGCTGCAGTCGATTCACCTGAATGCATCTGAGTCTTCATCATGTGCCTTCTTTTTCCATGAAATTCCAATCTTCATTTATTTTAGGAAAGTTCTTTTGTATTATATCTTTGAAATTTTTTATTCCTTTTGTTTTATTCTCTAATTCAGGAATGTCAATCAACCCTACATTGACACCCCATCTTCTGCTGGACAAATCTTTCATTCTCTAATTGCTCTTATTCCTTTGTCTTTCTCCTCTGCAATATGTGTAATTTTTTTCAAGCTTGCTCATCCTTTTCCTAATTCCAGTTTCTAGTGAACTTAGCAGTTTTGTGTAGGTTATTCAATCTTTGTCTTCTTTCCTAACTTGCAACCTCTCTCCTCCCCTTTCTATTATCCTCTCCTCTCATCTTTAATCTCATTTCCTAAACTTCCTGTACTGTTTAACATCTTTGATAAAATAAAACATTTGTTTTTCTGTTTATGTAATACAACATCTTCCACAATAGAGTCTTTATGTCTTTTATCTGCTTTTTTCCATTTTGTTTTATGTGGCACCATATTTTTTCTTTTGTTTATTTTTTGACAGCAGCTCTGCCTGGATTTCTGTGCCGAAATATAATGTGGATAGAGTCTCCCTCATCATCTGGATCCACTGGTGACTGCAGGTGAATGGGTATGAACAGGCTCCCTGGAAACTGCCCTGACAACAACACCTGATCATACTTAAGCCAGCAGAAAACCTGGCAACCTCCACGCCTCAAACCAGCTCGAGGCAGCTCAGGAGCAGGCACAGGCTCTGAAAGGATATTGTTTATCCAGGTGGGGTAATAAATTCTCCCAGAGCACTGAGACATATTTCACATAGAAAAAGTGTTGACATCTTTCATCTTCCCAGAAGAGTATTCTAACATTGCACCATATAAATGGACTGGGAAAATGCCTCTTTAGATGTGAAAGAACTCTTTTCTCTCAAGGATAGTTATGGCTTGAGCCAACAAGGAAAAATGTTTCCTTGAGCTAAACTCAATTCTATGTGGTAAAAGGATAGGTTTTGTCTTTGAAGTATTGCTTAACTATTATAGAATTTGATTTCATCATCACGAAAATAACTTTCCCCAATGAGGTAACCCATAGCTGTTGTAATAATCATATTGACAAGTAATAATAACCACTATCGACATCACCATCATCATCCTACAAACTAAAGCAGAAACAAAAGTTTCTCAAATGTAATTATGTTGACCAAGGGATTAGCTTATTATGCCATAGTACTAATAAAAGATTTATAATTTGTTCTTTAAAGTATTTGAGATCTTTATGTGATATTCAGGAAAACAAGTAAGTTGTCTACATTTTTTTTGTATTGGTAATGACAGAAATCGCTAACAAAGCTACAGTTTTTATCTCTACAGTCGGTTCTTATGCTTTGGAATGTTCCCTCAGAAAAAAAAAATGAACTGATAACATGTAATTCTGCAATATCCCTAGAGGCATTACAAACACAAAGTCTGAATAATATTGATTTGATAATATGTAGTCATATTAAAATTGATAGGTCACTCTGCTTTTATTAGCATGGGCTTTATTTATTTGCCACTGATCACAATGTGAGCCCTTTAAGCAGACATATTTCTTTGCAACTTTGATTCACGACCTATAGAATTGAATTATGCTTTATAATAATTCTAGGTAATAGAACCTTCCCATTGATGGTACCAAAAGATGTTGTTATTCAACATTTCCATAGCAGTTATTACATCAAGAGAATTTCAATTTGAAATGATTTTAACAAACTCATACTCATGGCTTTGAATGCCATTGGAGTTCTGCTTTTAAAAGACAGATAATAAGGGTCAACCCACATAGGGCACCACACTGAAGATTAGAGAGAAAAGAAGAGTTACTGGACCAGGGTCAGAACCATGGCGATCATTTGGTTAACAATATTTTCTCCTATTTTAACTAAGTATTCTACATCTGTTCCTTAAATGTAGGCTTTCCTTTCTCTTTGTAGGTGAATGACATATATGCACACACAGGCATCTTAGTAAAATAGTCATTATTGTACTTGTTGGGATTACAACAGGCATATACTGATTCAAGAAAAAGGTGGCAAGACAAATGTTTTCAAATTTGGGTTATTGAGTTTCCATTCAACCTATATTTGCAGCCAGATGGCCTCCTACCTGCCTGGCACTGTACTGGGGGCTGGTGATGTAACGATAAACACTTCGGGGCTCCCAAGGAGCTGAAAAGGCGGATGCCCCCCACATGGATTTAGAGCGTGTTTGACTCTGCAAAGCATGAATGACAGAGACCAGGAGGGAGCGAGCTGAGCACGTTTCCAATCTGCAGTCAGTGACTAGGGCAAAGTGGGCCAACGCCCACCCTCACTCACCCTCGTAAAATATGAAGCAGCTGCTTGATGCCTCCCCAAATTCGGATTTCCACACTGGTCTCAGGGTCCTCGCAAACCTGCACCAGGATCCAGACCACGCTCCAGAGCAGCTTCAGGTGGTCAGAGTGGAGCAGGCTGAGGAGGACGGGGATCCCTTCGTAGAGCTTCACCTGCTCCTTCACCTGGGGCTCTGCACAGAGGAGGCGCAGCAGCTCCGCGGTCAGCCTGAGGGGCAGGCGGCGAGGACGAGAGTCAGGCAGTAGCGGGTCATTGACTACCTCTAGACTAGAGCTATCATCACTGCATGAAGGATATGTCTAAGGTTTTCTAAATCACAGGCCAACATACATTTTCTGTGAAGGGCTGGGCCACAGCCAAATGTTTTCAGCTTTGCTGGCATATAGGCTGTCACAACTACCCAGTCATGCCAAAATGTGCAAAAGCAGCCACAGACAACCCATACAAAGAAATGGGGCATGGCGGTGTCTCAATAAATCTTTATTTACAAAATAGGCAGGGGGCCAACTTTAGCTTTCAGGTTATGGTTTACTGACTGCTGTTCTAAGTCATATTCTCATCGTACCCCCATTGGTCTGGCTAAAAAACTTCTAACCAGCAAATCGGTGTCAGATACATACAATGGGACCTGTATTGTGCTCAAGACACAAGAAATATAAGCTTTATCCTGGTCTTCAGCAACTTACTATGTGGTTGCAAAAACAAGACATTAATACCAAATGGCAAAAACACTGTAATACAGGAGAATTAGCCAAGTCTTTAAAGATAGTTCCACAGGAACTCACCCCACTGTGTCTAAACTCAAAGACATTATCCTCCTCCCAAAATCGGCTCTTCCTCTTTTGTCCCTGATCTTGATTCATGACACCATAGAAGAGTGGAAATCATCTCAACCTGCCACTGCCAATCAAGAGCCTTCAGTGCCCCTGTTTCCTGGGCAACTGCTGGGATCAAGTCTCTTGTAAGTGGTGCAGCTAGCTAACCCCACAGCGCCTCCCATTCTTGTAATATTTGATTATGCTCCAGGTATAAGCCCCTCTGTCATCTACATCTCCAATATTCTCATTCCCTTCAAAATTCCTTTCCCCTGAGGCAATTTTCCATAGCTCCTCTCCCTCCTCACTTTCATGCTGTGACATTCAGAACATATGTTCTTTGGTAAAAAGTATTCTTTACTTCTCAGACTTTCTACACGACACATTCCTTCCTTGTTCTACGTGGATCTTGTGCAGCTGTATTCCCCACCCCACGGCCCCCACAAACTGCCTTCAGAGTAATCTTCCCCCCAAATAAACCTGATCCTTCTTAAAATCTTTCTGTGAGCCCCCTTGCTATTCATGATAAAAAACTACACTCCTTCTTTAGCACAAAGAGCCCATCGTGACCTGACTAATGATGTTTTATTGCCTTGGCCATAAAATATGGACATTAATGGGGTTATTGTGCAGCTCAGATGAGTGAACACACAGAAGGATTTAGAGCAGGGCCTAACCAAAATTAGCTGTATTTTTAATGTGTCATTAATACTGTCTAGTCTAGGTTTCTGGCACTTTCCCTCCTGCATTCTTGGCTCCAGCTGTGCCCGACCATGCAAGATCCTCTAACACATACCATTTCAAGTGGGAGCATATTCTGTTTCCACTGGCTCTCTCCCTCTGCCTCGATCACTCCTCCTGCCCTTGGGAAACTGCATGCCTCTACGGAGGTTCTGCTCTATGCTCCAGCGCACCAGGGACCACACCACGGACCTCACCACGAATGGTGCTGTGGCAAAACCGCTGGTGTGCAAGCCTGTCCTCCTCTCCTACACTATTCACTCGTATCTTATTCATCTGTGGTTCGCTAACACTTGTGCGGAGGCTGTTAGTTGGGTGAATGAGTTCAGATAGCCAAGTCTTTAAGGATAGTTTGTAAAAGAATGATAAAATGACCCTGGCTGGTTTGGCTTAGTGGATGGAGCGTTGGCCTGTGGACTGAGGAGTCCCGGGTTCGATTCCGGTCGGGGGAGCGTGCCCAGGTTTCGGGCTCATTACCCGGTGAGGGGGCTTGCAGGAGGCAGCCGATCAATGATTCTCATCATTGGTGTTTCTCTCTCTCTTTCCCTCTCCCTTCCTCTCTGAAATCAATAAAAATATATTTTAAAAAATGATAAAATGGCTTTAAAGAAAATCTAGGGGGGGGGGTTACTATTTAAGTGTCTGAATTTAAGTGTCAGAGTTCTATTACTTGACTTTCTGTAATCTATTTTGCCTCTTTAGAAAATTATTTACTTGACTACATATCAAATGATGTTGGCTGCAACTCTATTTAAAGACAAACTAATAACTATCTGTATATAGTAATTCTTTAGAGCAACATGTAGTTCAAGTGAATGATTTAATTTTACACTAATTTCTGTTTTGAGTTATAAAAACAGGAGGTCAGGAAACAGGCCAGTACCTGTCTTAATTTATTTTACTGGCCTTCAGCAAAATAGATTTAAGCAATTAATCATTTCTTCAACACACAATCTGAAATTACTAAAAATAGAGCCGTGTCAGATTTTCTTTCCTTAAAGAGACAAGATGCAAATAAATGCAATAAGAAATATATTAAAGATGTGATCATAAGATTTATACAATTTGATTCTATGCCCAGATCTAGAAATAATATAAGACTAAAGAAAGATAAATCAATACACCACTTTGTTCTACTTACTTCATATAAACTTAAATAGAAAACAAATGCAAAGCTGACTCATGATATTCAGTTATAATGTAAAAAACATGAGATAATAAAAAAAATAATAACCATTTTCATCAAATATAAGACATTGCCTTTTTCCCTGTGAACAGTCCTACCTTTTGGAAAGTAAGTCATATTCATGTAAAATCATCAGCAGATTTTCTACAACGTTGAGTTCACTTATCTTCTCCCTACATTCTGGGCTACAAATTGAAAACTATTAGTAACTACTAAAAACATGGTTTACCATATTCACTTATTTAATATCCCAGCTCCCATATTATCTCAAGAGGAAAACAAAATGCATTATAATTCCATGGGGCACGGCTGCATCAAATTCCAACATTCAATTAACATTATAGGTCATAAATCTGTTTAATAATAGTGTGATGATAACTTAATTCCTTTTCTGCAAAGGGAATCATGCTGTTCACCAAAAAAGTAATGGTCAGCACTATTCACAAGAGCTAAAATATGTAAATGAATTATTTGTCCTCTGACAGATGAATGAATAAGGCAAATGTGATATAGACGATGGAATATTATTCAGCCATGAAAATAAGAAACATGGATGGACATGGAGGGCATTACACTAAGTGAAAGAAGCCAGGAAGAGAAAGGCAAATACTGTATGTGGAATCTAAAAATAGCATCAAAACAAAAAAAAAAAGCTGATTAAGTAGAAACAGAGAATAGAATGGTGGGTGGGTACCAGGGTCTGGGAAGAGGAGGAAATGGGAATATATAGGTTAAAGTAAAGGTATAAACTTGCAGTTATAAGAAGAATGAATCCTGAGGATCTAATGGTGACTACAGGTACTAATATGGCATTGTATACTTGAAAGTTGCTGAGAGAAGATCTGTGTTCTTATCACACACACAGAGTTAACTACGTGCGGTGATAGATGTACTAATTACGTTGATCTTGGTCATAATTCCACAATGTATATAAATCATCATGTTGTACACTTTAAATACATACAATTATATTTCAACTGTTTCCTATAAAGTTGGAGAAAAAACTCAAAGAGCAAAAAAATAAAAAAGCAATGATTCACTTATTGGCATAAAATATACTTATAGCTCTTTTATTTTAAGTAATCACATCTATAAGAGGACAGGTTATTTAGGTTTTTTTAAAGGGTAAAATTGTTTGAAAATGTTGTAGATGTCAAAATAAGTACACAGGAAAGAATGGAAAAAAAGGTTAGGGAAATTTAATTGTCAAAGAAATACTGTAGTAATTTTGAAGGTAGAAGTAACTAAACATTGAATGAAAGACTAGGTAAATATTTCTGGTTAGGGGAAAAAAAGAAAGAAAAATTTAAACTGTGATTTGCCTTTCCAACAGCTTAAAATTTAAAATGATGCTTTTCTATACAAAGTCCTTTTAAATATATATGTTAATGGAATGCCATGCTTATTTTTCTGAGTAGGTAGCAAAGTAACTAAAAAAACTAATCTATTTGGTATCTCTGCCACCTAAATTGCTACAGTAGTAGAACTGGACAGTACATCAAAATACACTTACCTTTCAGCCAAACTAGTCAGAGCCAGAAGGGCACCCAACAGAACACTGGTATCTCGGGCACCGAGTAAATTTACTAATGTCTGAAAAAATGAAGTAAAAGAAAGTTTAATTGCTTAAGTATCACACGTTTCTTGAACAGTATAATGTTTCCATGTAAAGATCATAAAGGCTTAACCTCAGAGGGAGTTCTGTTAAACCAGTGGTTTTTAACCTTGGCTGCACATTAGAATCACCTGGGAATGTTTGTAAAATCCTGATTTCTGGGCCTCATCATTAGTAACAAAGAAACAGAATTTCCGGAGGATGAGGCCCAGAAATCAGGATTTTACAAAGATTCCCAGGTGATTCTAATGTGCAGCCAAGGTTGAGAACCACTGCTCTAGCACCTTGTAGCCATTCCTTGCCCAGGACAGAAAGGAAAAGGGGCCAAGCCACATGGCCAGCCTGGTTCTCACCCTTCCCTCTATTTCTTGTCTTTTCAAGACAAGAGCTGTGATCTAAAAGTCTTCCCTCTGGTGCCACATGGAATGTATTTCTATGAATATACACATTGCATCTGTTTATTTGTAAGCACGCACCTAGGATCAGGGCTTTGCAACATTTAAATTAAGTAATAAACTTAGCTGGTATTAAGTGATATGGGGGGGAAGGATTTCAGAAACCCCTGATTTGCTCCTTGGGCTGATAGAGAATATGAGAGGGTTAGCAGAGATTTATAAATTGAAGCTCGGTTAGCAGATCTGAGTTATAATGACATAGAACTTGACCGCAGGGCTCTGAACCCCACGCAGCGTGAGCCATTGCCACGTGAAGCTAAGTCTTGGCTTTCCAGGACCACTCACCTTGTGGGCGCCGCTTGTGGTGACCCATTCCCTTTGGTCTTTGACAGCAGCAAGCTTTTGGAAAATATCTACAAAGAAAGGAAATAACTCAAAGAGGGATTCGGAACTTAAGGAGGGTGGTACTCCTAGCACCTCACGCCTGAAGCATTGATGGGCAAGCAGAGAAAGGGCAATGGGAAAGGAGATAGCACAGAAGGAACAATGGAGGGAGGAAGAACTGGGTGATGTGTGGTTGTTTTTTAATTCAAGAAGTACCTCTCAAGCCCAGCTAGTATTTATTGTATAACACTATTATCTAATGAAATAAGGGAGGTAGCAAAAAGGCAAAGCTTTCCTTCCACCTGAAGTTAAATGAGTTTCTTAACTTCGTTATAAGTCCACAGCGAAACCTGTCTTTCCAAGACCCTCCTCATAAAGATGTCAGCTTGACAAAGAGGAGAGGGAGGCCAGCAGATGTGACGGACCCAGCAGGAGTCCTCGGCTGAGGGAAGCTGTTGTTTTCAAAAAGCCTTCCTGATGCTCTGGGCTCACCACCTACACTTCTCTCCCTGTAACTGAATCAGGATGCTGTCCAGTAAACAGACATGGCGGGAAGCCAGCCTGCTCACAAGGAGAGTGGGCTGGGTACCCCCACAGCAGGAAGGCTCTGGTCGTCAAACCCGAACAGGATGGAAGGTGGGGCTGGGAAGAGCCTCCAGAGAGAGAAGTCTGGGTGACCAGAGAACAGCTCACCACACAGACCAATGATTTCACATTATTGTTAATCACATCAAGGCTTTTTCTTTTATATGCTTTTGATGTTCCAAATGTTTGGAGGTAGGCATCATTATTAACCTAACTTTATAGATGAAAATTGAATAGCCTCTGACATTAATAGGAATTAGAGGAACCAAAAAATATGTTTACCAAAATCTACTGGTATGGAAGTCTCTCTTGCAATATATAGCGAAAGCTTGGGCTCAATGAAAATATTCTGAAACGTGAAATTGGGCTTTTCAAGGTAACAGTTGTGATCTAGAAGTCTTCCTTCTGGGCATATTTTGGCACTGACTATAACAATTGGCATGGAGTCTCAACACATAAATGTTCAAAGTATCCCTTTTCCTGCTGCGCTGCAAACACCGTGTTGCTTATTCTGCACGTGCAGAGTTGGCTGTGCCCCCCCCCGCCCGCCGGCCATGCTTACACGTCATGTTGACCAGCTTGCCCACACTGTGCTGCTCCTCGCCGTAGCTGAGGTACTCAGTGGCCACGATCTCCATGTACTGCAGGAGGGACCAAACCAACAAGTCAGAGGAGAAGACACCAAAAGCACACAAGCAGGTGACAAGATTGTGCACTTCTATAAATGAGCTGTAGGTGGCGCAACAGATTCACCAAATAATAGTGCTTCCGGGCCCCTTTCATTCAAGTGCAAATAGGTGGCTGCATTTCTGGATTCTTTGCCTTCTCTTGCATGCCCTGAAGTTAGGGAGGGACCATGCAAAAACTGCATAAACTCTCAAAAGTCCCCCAATAATTTGTAGATGAATAGGTTTGTAGTGTAATTTAGTCTCCAAGTATAAGATACAAATAAGATGCATAATATGGAGTACATAGAATTTTATTTCTTCAATGTGACTTTTTAGTAGAATTTAATTTCTGATATTATAATGGGGGTTAAAGTGGATAAGAATGTCATTTACAATTTTATGAAAGACTATTTCGTTAAATGAGGTAAATCTCCAGCCAATTTTTTAAAATCTTAAAAACAAAAGCTAGATCCCAAAAATGAAAATAACATAGATTTAACATTAAATTGCCATTAAACTTCATCTTCCTTTAATCATTCAGAGTGAATTTTGAGGGCCACAGACTTATGAAAACCATTTTTCTGTACATGCTATGGGTTTGGGGAGAATGGACTGTTTCAATTCAATGCCATGCCATGCCATGTTTTAGCAAATTAACAAACCCAAACATTTGATGAGCTCAACACATGTATTCTCCTGCTTACTTTCCCTCAGTAGTTAGCAAAGCTGAAAAATAAATGAAGTTAAAATCATTCCTCACATTGTCATTTACTGGGTAAAATTTTAGTGAGCACAGTAATTCTTTTCAAAAGCGTGAGAAAGTTGCGAACAGCTTCATCGCCAATATTTTCTCCCATCACTGGGTACGTGCAGCACTGAGGACTGGGCCTGCCAGCCAAGGTCTATTTCTTTTCATTACTAACTAAAGACATGTGACCTTTAATAGCACTTTCTCGTTTCAACAGGCTAGGTAAAGTGAGCCCAATTAGCCAGAACAAAATGTCATGGGTCCCGCCCTGCCCCGTGAGTGTCCTGCTTCACACTCTCACTTATTAACCCTGCCTACTCCTCCCCTGGGCAGGCAGCCTATGGTTTGAAAAAGCCATCCTCTGTCACATACCTATGTAATCCTCGCCCAAAGCCATGGCGCAAAATGGAAAGGCAAGACCAGCCACTGCAAAAGGAATCTTACCTGAGCTAGGCTTTCAATCCCATCCAAGCTGTAGAGTATTTCCTAATAAAACAGAAACAACAGAGCATACATAAAAGATGGGGGGAAAGTTGTATTTTGCATGCAATTTCTTTATTAATTCATAAGATTTAGAATTATTTTATGAAGGTCCACATTCTACCATCAATGTGGAAAACTTGAATGCTTGTCGTACTACATTTAAGATAAACTGTTAATTTAAAAGAATGAAATTTGGATTGAGAATCAGAAAATATAAATATGCTCATAACTTCAGCCAGACGCCTCACTTTTTCACCTTCTCCGATGTCATCAGGAACAGGTAGAGCTCAAAGGAACGGTTATATATTGCTCCCTTTAATCCTCTCATGCTGCAGATAGGCCAACTAAGACCCAGAAAGGTAAGCCACTTGCCTAAGTGATAAGTCATGATAAGAGTCTAGGGTCACCAAATTCCCAGACCCTTCCTCTGGGCTTCTGCCTGGTGTGGTCCGCAGACTGGCGGCATCAGCCTGGCCTGGGGACTGAGTGGAAACATGGAATCTCCTGCTGACTCACACTGAGTTTCAACGAGATCAGACGAGACTGCAGGCTTCTCCTTAAAATGATTAGGCTAATGGTCTTCTTAAACCTACGCTCTGAGCCAGGGTGAGCGTCATCTTTGCCAAATGTCTCCCACACAGGTCTTAAAACCCAATTCCCAGTCAAAAGGCACCTCAGCACAATCCCGAAGCTTCCTGAAAGTGCCAGTGAGGAAGAGAGGGGTCGGGAGGCTGGAGACTAGCTTGGAACTATGAATAGGAAGTGTTCTCGGGTTGTTCACACTGACATTTGTTTTCAGGCCAACGTAGTTCAGGTGGCCCTAACCTGTTTAATTAAAGCTGTATTGACGTCTCACTTCTTACTTAACATGCACACAAGGAAGTTATTTGAAATATAAACATCAGCCTTTGGTCCAGTTCTGGGAAGTGCAGGAGGCTGAGTACACGAGTGTGAGAGGGAACAGTGAAGTCCCGCCAGGAAGCCGTCCGAGGGAGCAGGTGGGGCAGGTGGGGGACAGACACGGGCTCTCAAGGCCTCCGGGGTCAAGGTTTCCTTCTTCTGTGCGAAGTGAATTTGGAAACACTAAACATATCCATGTTTAAATTAAGAGTGAAGGGACATTTATAACTCAATTAAAAATAGTTCTGTGACTACCTATTCATTTGAATTTTCTTCATTGCTATTCATGCCAGAAAAGCTATAATTAAAGAACACAGGAATGTTGTATACATTATCCCTAGTGGTGTTGGGATATTTTATACATATAAAAATAGAAATAACATTTTAAAACTATTAATATTTATTCTACAATTATCTTTTTTTCATTTCTGTTATGTAAAAGCCCTGGGTTAGGCTCTAACGAGGACACAAATATGTAGATGGCAGAGGCCTACTTCCTGAACTTCAGGCATAAGGTAGATACACAGAGAACTGGAATTTAAGGCAGAATTTGGCCAGTCTTATAAGAAAATTATTCATGAAGTGCTATGGGGTCCTCAAACTTTTTAAACAGGGGGCCAGTTCACTGTCCCTCAGACCGTTGGAGGGCCGGACTATAGTTTAAAAAAAAACTATGAACAAATTCCTATGCACACTGCACATATCTTATTTTGAGGTAAAAAAACAAAACGGGAACAAATACAATATTTGTATTTGCATGTGGCCCGCGGGCCCGTAGTTTGAGGACCCCTGGGCTATGATACCCCAGAGAAGGGACACGTGCTATTTTGCTGAGAAGACTAAGGGAAACTTCATAATAAGAGTGATGGGCTCTGATGGGCTGAGAAAGATGGGAAAATCTGCTGAGAACAAAATGGGGGAACAGGGGAAGATAAAGGAGATTCCAAGCACAGAGAACAGTAAGCTCCAAGGTGCATAGAAGTTGTGCAGAAAGAACATCAAGATGTTCCATAACTCTGCAAAGCACCTCCATAACTCCAATAAGGACACTGTTGGGACTACTGTTAGAAAAGCAGGGTGGGATCACACCGCGGGAGGACTGAGACAGGAGCCTGGATTTGGGCTTCATCAAGTGGACCAGGAAACCCAATGAAATGTGTGAACAAGGGACTGATCAGAATCAGCTGTAAGGGCTTCCCCTCTAGTCTTAGAATGAACTGGAGAGGCAAAGTGTCATCTAGAAGCCCAGGTGGTTTGCCATGGCAGTGGAAAGGCAGATGGAGAGGCGGAGATAGTCTTTGAAGTGGAATGAAGAGGAAGACACATTGGAAGAAAGAAGAAGGCATCACCATATTAAAGCCTGGGTGACGGGGACAGGGCCATGATTAACAAACACCAAGAGAGAGAGAAGACTAGACTAGGTTAGAGAAGACTTGATTTGGATATGTTGAGTTGCTGATAGGATATACAGGTGGGGAAAAAAAGTACAACAGGCCATGAAAAATGAGATAAGGGCAAAAGGTTCAAATCTTGGAGTCACTGACATGAAGGAGATATAAATTTGAATGAGAAGAAACCAAGGAAACGCGATGACACCAAGGAAAAGAATGATGTCTAAATGATTGGTCATAGTCAAGTTCATATTTTTAAAATTTTGTTGTTGTTCTTGTTTGTTTTTTTAAGTTCATCTTTAAATGTTTACCTTGACGAGAAATATATCAATCCAAAAATTAATGTTAACAATATGGGACTACGTCAGTGTTTCCCAAACTATGTCATTAGGATTATCATTCTACTCTGTGCAGTGGGTGGTATTATAAATTCTACCAAAAAAAAAAAAAAAGTTTTGTGATCAAATTCAAATTAGCTTGGGAAATGCTATGTGCTAGATTACACAGAGTTTAACAAAGTGCTTCATCATAGGACACCTCAGAGCTTTTACTATGCTGCTCCAATGGGAGACCTAGAGTGCAGCCTTTCTTAAATATACCCATTGGAGCACAATTCTGTTCACAGAATACTTAACCACTGGGAAGCACAGTTTGAGAAGTGCTGTTATGAAATATAAGAAGGGCAAAGAGGTCCTGGCCAGGTGGTTCAGCTGGTTGGAGCATCGTCCCATGCACCAAAGGGTAAGGGGTTCAATTCCCTGTCAGGACACATACCCAGTTTGTGGGTTCAATCCCCGGTCGAGTGCATGCGGACAGCAACCAATCCATGTTTCTCTCTCACATTGATACTTCTCTCTGTCTCTCTCTCTGTCTCTCTCTTAATGTCTCTCTCCCTCTCCCTCTTCCTTCCTCTCTCAATAAAAAAACATATCCTTGGGTAAGGATTTTAAAAAACGTTTTTAAAAAGAGCAAAGAGAATTCTGTTGCTATATACTCAAGACTTCACCTTTCATTTATGAAATAAACATTCCGCCCCCTCCCATTCTCCTACGGAGACTGGAGCAAGGCCAGGAGATTGCTCACAGACCCATGGTCATCCTTGTATTTCCTTTGGTTACACTAATAGGATTGCTCCAACCTGAGAGCATCAACTAGAGAAAAGCAAGACCACAGGGTATGCACATACCTGGGCTTGACAGCTCTGGTTACTGATCTGAAAAGCAAACATGGCTGCCTGCTTAGAGTACAGCGACACCTCCTGCTTGCCCTCCAGGCCTCAGTGTTTTCTCCCTGGTCACAGCCCAGAGGGTCACAAGACTGGGGTCTGTAGTTCTGAGCCTAATGACCTGGAGAAAGTCCTTTAGTGAATAAGACCTCAGTTTGATGTGCAAAATGTGAGCAAATGTCCTTGTTCTGCCTATCCCGAGTTTTTCCTTTTATTTAAAAAAAGGGGGGGGGGGATACAATAATATAATACAGATAAAAAATATGCCTAAAAAAATGGAACACACTGCACGCCAACATGGGTGTTGTTAGTCCACCACTATTTCTACCAAAATGTCATTGCCATTAGACATGCTCATCCTAAACCTGCTCAGCAATTAAAGCAATGCTAAACACACGGCAGAGCCCTTGATCCTGAATCACTAACCTGATCATTTTCTGTGTTAACTTATCAGTATTTCCACGCTGCTGATTCCTCCATCACAATTTTAAGATCCCTCTATGCACTGGCCTTTACTTATCTCCCCAGGAGTAATAGTAACCACTCTTCTAAAAGGCTTGAGGGAGAATTGAAGAGGTCCATTTGAAAGTTATTGAATATAATGTGCTACAACAGTGCTTCTCAAACTCTTTGGTCTCTGTACCCCTTTACACCCTTACACATTCTTCAGAACCCCAAAGACTTTGCTTATATGGGTTATGTCTATCTACATTTACCACATTAGAAATCGCAAGTGAGAAATTCCTAAAACACAAGAGCGCACAGCACATATTTCATCAGCCGTCACAGCCATGACATCATCACGCAACCTGCAGCCTCCGGGACACCGCACTGCACGCTTATAAGGAGTGAGAGCAAAGGGGCAGATGATACCTGAGCGTTTTCTTGAAGACAGTTTTGAACCTATGGAACCCCTGAAAGGAATTCAGAGACCTGTAAGCAGTACCTGGATCACACCTGGAGAACCATTACGCTACTGTGTCACCGGGATGGCTGTCCCCATCATATCACTGGAATTGTGGGGCTTAAATAAAGGGGAAAGTTTGAGAATGCAGATATGTGGTTGGGAGCAAAGAACAGCAACAGCAACAAAAAATGATAGTTGAAGCCAAGAGCTAGGAAGATGGGGAAGAAGATGATAAAGAAAAGAACTTTGGGCCCTTCTGGCACAGCTCAGTGGTTGAGTGTCAACCTATAAACCAGGAGGTCACAGTTCAATTCCCAGTCAGGGCGCATGCCTGGGTTGCAGGCTCAATCCCCAGTGTGGGGCTTGCAGGAGGCAGCCAATCAAAGATTCTCTCTCTTTGTTGCTGTTTCTCTCTCTCTCCCCCCCTCCCTTCCTCTCTGAAATCAATAAAAATATACTATTTTTTAAAAAAGAAAGAAAGAAAAGGACTTTGGGAAAGTTAACATTTAGGAAAGCAGGATTTAAAAAAGGACCAAGTACAGTAAGTAAAAGAGAAGAAGAACGAAAAGGGCTGAGGAAGAGCTGGGGGTTGGTGCAGGCAGAGTACGGGACAGGCGTGCCCTGCTGCAGAGGGCTGGGGAAGGTGAGGCCGAGACAAGGCCGCTCCGCTGGACTGTCTTCTCACTGTTGTAATTGTAGTTTGGAGCTTTTAAGATTTTCCCTTTAAGTGCGGGACAGGCGTGCCCTGCTGCAGAGGGCTGGGGAGGGCGAGGCTGAGACAGGGCCGCTCCGCTGGACTGTCTTCTCACTGTTGCTGCTAATGTAATTGTAGTTTGGAGCTTTTAAGATTTTCCCTTTATCCTTGATAAGTAATGAACTATAATGAACCCAGCTGGGAATTTATCTTTATGCTGCTTGGAGCTCCGACAATACCTGAAACCTCGCATGTCTGCCTTTAATTAAGGAAAACGCTAAGCAATTGTGGCTTCTCTTTCATCCAGTGTTTTCTTGCTGGAATCTCCGTTAGGCATAGCTTGAAGCCTCTCTACACTGGCAGGAAAGACTCAATCTGCAAGCCACCAGCTTGCAGCCTCTGGGTGAAGGAATGATGATGGAAGACTGCCACACTATGGACCAGGGGTCCTCAAACTTTTTAAACAGGGGGCCAGTTCACTGTCCCTCAGACCGTTGGAGGGCTGGACTATAGTTTAAAAAAAAAAAAACTATGAACAAATTCCTATGCACACTGCACATATCTTATTTTGAAGTAAAAAAAACAAAACGGGAACAAATACAATATTTGTATTTGCATGTGGCCCGCGGGCCGTAGTTTGAGGACCCCTGCTATGGACTATTTCAATGGCTTCCAGAGAGAACCTTGTACACAGAATTCCATGTCCAGATAGAAAGGAAGTGGGTTCACGTCCTGACCTTTCAAAAAATGTAGTGATGACGGTAAGATGGGAGATTGGAAGGGATAACGGATCAAAAAGGGGGTATTTATGATAAAGACAAACAGAAGGGGCGCCACTGACACCATAAGAAAGAGAACAGATGGGAGGGTAAGCCTTGGCAAGGATGCGGGATGTTTCCTTTGAAACAAGGAGAGAAGTAAAGTTGCATAATCCAAATATTTCAAGCAACAAAGAGGAGGAAATAGGAGTGCTCCCACTGGGATGTCTTCAGATTTCCCTGTAAAACAGATGTAAGGTGATGAGAGTGACAGGGGCAGGAGGCGGGTTGGGTGTGAGAAGTGGAGATGGTTTGGAACAGCCGCTGTGGATCCTGCGATACAACCAGCGGGGACAGGAATGCTGAGCCGCGGCGAAGGCTCGCTGAGACTCTGCGGCATAAACGGTCGTAAACCCCAGCCTTGCTTTGTGACTTTGGCCAACAATTCTTGGCAACTTTAGATATTGAATAACTGCCTGAGCACATGCTCTTCTTTGTGAAAAGGCTGCCAGAAGGAGCGACTCGGAGAGCATCCCCTTCTATGGAAAGATGAAACCAGATAGAGATATAGTTTAATATGTGTTTTGGTCACGAAATCCCATAAACAAAGAGGTTACTGCATTCTTTCCTTCGGAGAGCAGTACAATCAACCCTGTTTCATTCCATCAAGAACTTGGCTGAGAAAGGAGATCAGCCGAGCATGACACAACTGTCATCAGTGTTCTGAACAAACAGGACATCTCTAAGGCAAATATTTTCCTAATTCCTATAAGCCAAAGCACTAGCTCCCCACCTGCCTCCAGGAACACTTTCCTTCGCATTATAGATGCACTGTTCTCACCCCAGTTGGGACATGCTGGAGGGAAAAAGCGGGTGCTATTAATAATTACGTAGGAACAGTGAGCACACACTGGGACTGACTGGGGCAAAGTGGAACATATGGTCCACCCTTATCATATGTGACCCACACTGCATTGCTCATGGCAGCTCAGAAATGTGTGCAACACACAGTACTGTGTGGTTGGTCATGAGGGAAATGAAAACTCCCAGAAAACTGTGAGCAACCAGGACAGAAAGCCATCAGAGATGCCCTAAGTCTCATAGTCAAATGATTATGGTTGGCTAAACTGTAACAACACAAAGCCAGCCTAAAATACAGGAGGAGGAAGGGAATGGTTCTTCTAAAGGAAAAATGTGGAGCCACCATGACTCTAGAGCCCCGCAAGAGCCCCCACTGGTCACAGCTGACTTTGACCTAGCAAGCTGCTTAGCCTTGAACATGCTAGAAGGTGTGGCCAAGTGCATACCTCTCTGAACTGCCTGTGGTTTTCAATGCCAGCTAATAATGAAAACATAGACCAACGAGTAATCCACTTAATCCCATAGGAAATATAGTAGAAATGTACAGATTTTCTTTTTGGTCCTCATTAAATCACTTCTCTCCTATCTTTCAAATAGCAGATGAGATACTTGCCAAATTTGAAAGCTATTGAGTTGTGAGAGAAAGAGAAAGTTAACATGGTCTGCTTCAAAGAAAACCCACCAGTGTTTTATTTTATCTTCATCACCAGTACAAAATATCTTTATTTTTTCCAACCAACCTGGTAACATGGATCCCTCATGAGTAGTCTCAGACAGATTAACACTCTCAGAAAGTGAATAGACGGGGCTCGATTAACCCACTCTCTGAAAGAAGAAAACAAGAGAGAACATGTTTGTTCATGTCTAAAAGACGAACATGCCAGTTCATGAACACCACACGACTATGAAGGAGAATGAGGAACAGCATTAGTTTATTTCAAACGTAATCTGCAATGGCAATGGTTATTTTGAACTTACACATCTGTCCCATGTTCATGCAAAACACATGAAAGCCATCATTACCACTCTGACGTAGAGGCCCCCCCAGTTACGTGGTTTACAGTGCCGTCACTGACTCCGGGCAGCCCCTGACCAGAACAAATAGCTAGAAGGTCCAATAATTAGATTTACCTTAATATGAACGTATGCCCTAATGACTAAAAAATAACACACATACATTAAAAGGAAAATATTCGTATCTTATTCTTTTTTATATATGTTTTTATTGATTTCAGAGAGACGATGGAGAGAGACAGACAGACAGACAGACAGAAACATCAGTTATGAGAGAGAATCATTAATCAGCTGCCTCCTGCATGCCCTCTACTGGGGATTGAGCCTACAACCGGGGCATGTGCCCTGACCGGGAATTGAACTGGGACCTCCTGGTTCATGGGTCAACGCTCAACCACTGAGCCGCATCGGCTGGGCTGTATTTTATGCTTAAATAACCACATTTACTTATCAATGGGATCAGTGCCCCCTCGGGCACCAAGCAACTTCTGGAGCCTTGGAATCAGACTGGACAGCACCCCACTGTGTCCTCTTCCACCTGCTATTGATCATAGCGACCACGGAAAACCCAGCTTCAGTAGGCGATGCCATCACCTCTAGGAAGCAGCACGAGCTTAATGTGGAAATCGTCAGCTACCCTGAGGAGCTTGCACTGTGTCTGATGGGTGTCGAGCATCGCTGTTTTCCTTGAAAATGTAAAATACCCATGACACCCCTGGGAGTTCTCAGCAAGCAGTTTGAGGCCCTGAGCCTCCGCTGTTTCCTATGACAGCCTTCTGCGACTTTCTCACACTGGACCCTCCCAGGGAATTAGAAGGATGTTCTCTAAGGTGACATGAGGCCGGAACATGCAGATACATACCACCAACACAACACAGGGGGGACCCCTGACCGAGGAGGAAGGAGGCTGGGCACTGGGGCACCGGGAACTTGCCGCGTGCACCGGGAACTTGCCGCGTGCACGGAGGGCCCTGCCAGGTGAGACCTGTCTCACACTGCCCTCCCAGCTGGTCCCACATGGCACGTGGTGCAAAAATGGACAGAAACCTAAAATAAAAGCGTCTGCTATCCATGCTTAGCCAAGAAAAACTAAGAAAGACAGAGGAAGATTCCAGATGAGACTCCACAGAATTTCTCTCTCCCTTTCCCACCCCCCAGCTGGGCTGGCTGTGCATGGGGCAAGGTTACCTTATTAAAGATCTGTCAAGTGAAGCATTGATTGCGCCGTGACCCCAAGCCAACCCTCGCCTGGCTTGTCCCATATTTGTTACTCCGTAGTGTAGAACTCAGCGTCGTCTTCTCTAAGATCCTGAAATTCAACTCTGCCCCCAAACCTGCACATCCCAACCTGAGTGCAGAAACCCCACCCTCCTCAAAGGCAGGACGGACATCTGTGGTCACTGCCCCTGGAGGCATCGTCCTCCAGCCTATGCTACCCACACTCCACTCCAAGCCATTCACCATTCCTTCCATCTACCCAGACTTGGCTCCTGGGAAGGAGGCTGGGAAGCCTGCTTTCCCATGGCTTTATATTCCCAGGGGTGATTGGCAGCTCTTTATAGACACAGCCCCCAGCAGAGGCCTGGCCCGGTGGGGAGAAGTTGGGCAAGGAGTCCCGAGAGCATTGCTGGCCGAGAACTATTCCTCCTGCCATCACAGAGGCTTCTGGCTGGAGCTGCCCACCACAGCGGCAGTCGACCCTACGACCCTTCTCCAGCCCAGGCACATGACAGCGACACCTTGCCTACGGAGGCAACCCATCCCAGGCAGGGCGACCAGCCAGGCAGAACTACCCCAGGCCACACTGGGAAGCTACGACAGTTCATCTGACCTCCCCACAGTGGGAAAAATAATGCCAATTTGAAATACACTTTGAATCTAACACACAATCACCTATGGGGACACCTGTAAGGGTGTGGTTATTTGGAGGCTCCTGTCACAGAGAGCACCTTTGATCTTATCAATAGGGAGGTGGCACACGACTACTCTCCCTTCGGTGCTGGAAGGCTGACTTGTGGCGCAAATGCTCCGTCCCAGAGACCCTACCAGAAGGAACCATCAAGTGCAACGGCGCCCGGCAACCCGATGAGGGTTAACGCTGACTGCTTTCATTACTTAAAGGAAAAGCCAGGGGCCTGTGAAGAGGTGATTCATGGAACAAATATGTGCACGCTCGGTGTTTTTCCTAACTATACGCAATCTTCCTGAGCAAAGTTCATGGCCTTTCCAGGGTTTTTTCATATCAAAATAAGTAGGGAAAGTTTTTTGCTTCCTCCCCTACTTAAAAAAAAAAGGAAAAGGAAAAAAAAAATTCCACCATAGGTTTTATTATTTTTAACTGTTAAGAGAATGTAAGTAAATGAAGAGTTCCAGAAAAGTCTTGAAAGTCCAGAAAAGAACTTTCAACTCTCCAGAACAGAGTTGAAAGTCCTATTCCAAACCAATTGCCATTTTTTATGTGTGTTTTTTGGGGTTTTTTTGTGGGGTTTTTTTTTTTTTGCTTTTTTGGGACGGAAGCCCGAAGCTATTAATATTTCTGCATGGTCCTGGCCTCCGCTGCGGTGAATGTAAATAGAATTCCTGGTGTCTGAGTCCTCTGGCTCTTCCTCTCTGAGCACTGACCTCTAAAGGAGCAGTTGTTCCTGCCTTGGCTCCCTGCCCTTGACCCCCCACGAGAGCATGGCACGTCGCATGGAGCTCTGGTGTCCAAGGGGAGTGACGTGCTCTGTAAGACGATCTCTCTCTCTGTTTCCAAGGGTTGGGGGACTAGGAAACACACGCTCAGGGCCAGCAGAGAGGGGCAGAGCATGATGGTGGCCGGCCGGAGAGCCACTGCGGCCTGGAGCAGCGGGGCCCGGCTCCCAGGCCAGGGTCCTCCACCAGGGGATGACCTGGGAGAAAGGGACTCTTACTATGGGAGCAGGAATGCTCGGCACAGGCCAGGGGATCCTCTGAGGCAACTCTGGAAAACCTGTCTGTCTGCAAAGATAGTGTTTCCCCGGAGGATTAGGTCCCGATATAGCAGCCACACGGCCGAGGATTCCAAGCAGGCAAATATGTATCCCCGCTGTGACTGAACCTCTGCCACGGCTTTCACAGGACTATTAATACATGGCAGCGTGATCGGCGCCCGCGGCCTTGGCCTCGGACCCGCTGCCACGGCGCTTGCAGCCTCGGAGGCCACTTTCTGCCATCACCAGAGGCCCAGCCTGTGAACAGAGAAAGGGTAGCTGGGGTTTCACCTTCTTGCACAGTGGGGGAAACCAGTATGCCATGTGAGTGCTCCCTGGGACTACTAGCCACAGAGCTGTGGTATTGATTATTGAATGATAATAAAGCTGTAAGCACCAAGATAAATGAGATCATCGGATGGTCTGGAGTCGACTGACCAGGGGCTGTGCAAATGCCGGAGGTTCCAACCTAGACCCCCCCTTGGCAATGCTTCCCTCTGACTCTCACTCAGAATAAGCAGCAACTTCGCGGGGAGAGTGTTATTTAGATTTCCCTTTTCGTGTTGTCATACCGTTTGCGTTAACACCAAGCACAGCAACAAAACTGCCACTTTTGACTCAAGATTTTAAAGTGGAGGAATTCAAGCCTGTTTCAAAATAAATGTTATGTCAAATTCATAAGACAGAGCCCTATTTTTTTTGATAGTTCAAAAAGTAAAAGTAACATCAAAATAGAAACTGATTATAAACGAATATTCAAGGACTCTTTACTAACTTGTTCCACTCTTCGTAATGGGCCCGTGTTCTTTATCTCTGTCTACCCTGAAACCTAGCCCAGCACAGGCACCCAATCAGAAGTCCATCCAGTGAATTACACTGGCCCCTAAACTCAGCGAGATAGTGAGCAGAAAGGACCGTCTTCTAGATGTTTCTTCCAGTTACTTGACAAAAGTTTCAGAGGTAGAATGCTTTCAAATATTTACTCATCACCTAGTAGGAGTTGGCACTGTTGGCCCCTCAGGGATACAGCTCTGGACAAAGCATGCACTGGTGTACATCGCGCTTCTTCTAAAGCAGTGGTTCTCAACCTGTGGGTCGCGACCCCTTTGGGGGTCGAACGACCCTTTCACAGGGGTCGCCTAAGACCATCGGAAAACACATATATAATTACATATTGTTTTTGTGATTAATCACTATGCTTTAATTATGTTCAATTTGTAACAATGAAAATACATCCTGCATATCAGATATTTACATTACGATTCATAACAGTAGCAAAATTACAGTTATGAAGTAGCAACGAAAATAATTTTATGGTTGGGGGTCACCACAACATGAGGAACTGTATTAGAGGGTCGCGGCATTAGGAAGGTTGAGAACCACTGTTCTAAAGGGAGAAGACCAATAATACACACAGAGAGATAAAAATGTACATCAGGTGCTAACCAGTGAAGAACAACCAAGGTCAAGGCTATAGGGGTTCTGGGGATGCTATTTTAGGACAGTCAGACGGAGAAGGGTTCTCGAATAAGATTGGCATCTGAGTGAACTGAGGAGAGAGTCTGGGTGGGAAGAGCAGAAGAGTTAAGCATATAGTTCATGAGCAGGAGTGTGGTGGTTTGTGCCAAGAAGGGCAAGCAAGCCCTCGGGGCTGGAATAGAAGGAGCCAAGACTGAGTTACAGAAGGGAAGTCAGAGAGAGCAGGAGCCACATCTGCAGGGCTTTGAAGAATATGAATAGGGACTTTGGATGTTTTATTCTGGAAGGTCACTGAAGGCTTTGAACAGAGGACTGCCATGATGTGACAGAGAGTGTGAATGGATCCTTCTGGGGACCTTAATGAACCTTTATCTTTATCCAACTTATGGGGCTGATTTAAAGACCTCTCTAGGGAGGTTAGAACGATCTGGCAGACTTGATCAAGGTGACGAGGCTTCTCTTTTCCTAGGCCAGAAGGAAGCCTTCCAAGGCCCCTAGTGGCCTCTCTACTCCCTGATGAGATAGAATCCCAGAGAAAGCATCTCTCCCATCAATTTCGTATATTTTAAGACCCCAATCAAGACACTGAAGAGACTGCTGCTGCATCCTAACTTCTAGTCCTCTCCTCTGACCTCCTGTAACAGGGTCCGGATAGCTAATGCTGAGGATCAGGACAAGTTCAAAGGAAGAGTCACCTGCATCAGACATATGCCCAGGAGTGGACCTGGCCACAAAGGTCTGATGAGTAAACAAATAACTACATAGGTCCTTTCGGTGAGGGTGTCTGTGAAGTTCCCAGAACACTTCTAATAGCGTTTCTAACAAGATTGTGATGTTTGGGCCAGATGTGTTCCCCTAGTTCAAGCAGTTCTTGAGCTCTTGTATAGAATGTAAACATAATCTTCCCAAGCTAGACTCCCTTCAAACTCATTTCCAAAATATTTCAAATTTGTAGAAAGTATTTCAGGAAATATGATGTAAAATAATGATACCAACTTGTTCTTATCAGAAAAGTGACTGCATTTTTGGACAGAAAAGATCATGCTAAATGAATCAGTTGGGTCGCTTTTAACTGGAATTAAAGAACCTGGGGTATACTCACCTCTATAAAAGTTACAGCAAAAAGAGGTTCATGTTTGGAAATATGTTAGAAAGAGGGGCTATCCTGGCAATTCTAGAATAATTGTATCAGAAAGAGGCCAGTTAAATGAACCCACCTTACAATAGCACCAAATTTCACAATAAATAGCAGAGGCAATATCCCATTTAAATATTATAACTGTAACTCTAACAAGCAGAAAAAAAAGCAAGAATAGATTCTGCTGACCTCTTTTGGCACGCTCTTTCTAGCAAAATTGTATAAGGTGATCCAATATCCTTGACTTCACTTTTGACTTTTGCAGCATTAAGAGGTTCATTTTTGCAAATATGTTAGATTCATCAATTTTTCCTAATGGCATCTCCTACACTTTGCTATTTAAAATATGTTTATTTGAAGTTCTATCTTGTCATCTTCCTTGTAAACACTCTCTTCTTCAATTCAAAGTTACTTTCAGTAACTTCATAACATTCTACATCTTTAGCCAGATTCACAAGCTCATTTCACAAGTAGGTTATGGTACATTTGCATTGTCTGACAATCAGCAAGGAATGAACCAACAGAGAGGAGGCTCAGAGGGACAGATACACAGAAGAGATAGTTGAGTCGAGGCCAATTTTATAAGTGGTCAGTTAACGGGGAAATATGTCAATTTTGTGACAACTTGTACTTCTCTACAGAACCTCAGAACCTTATTTTGGATAGCAAGCACCCTTTGTGCTTTCTTTGCAATTTCCTCCAGATAAGATAAGAAGAGGTAGGTTTGTTTAGCAACAGCAGAGTCTACTATATAGACAAATGATGTTATGGCAGAAATAAAAGTTGGGAGATCAAAATTTGCTCCCATACTCGGCCCACATAGGGATCATTACCATGTGTAACCAGCAGTAACCTGAGATTCAGAGGCCACACTTTCACTTACCCTTTGAGATCTACCATGAGGTGTTTACAGTGTTACCTTATCTGACTCTGGATTAACAAGTCCTGTTTCATTTCAGAGGCTGCCTGACAATGTCATTTCTGAGAACAAGGGAGTATCACGGGTCAATCTTAGGAAAATAACCCAGAAGTGAGGTATCCAGAAGTGGGGGACAGGGGTTGACTAAAGTTGGGGAGTGGAATGGAAGAGGAATAACATCAATTGGGCATAAATAGGGAGAGCTCACACTCCACAGATGAGATTAAATTCCCAATCAGACATATTCTCAGGATAAAAATGAATGGCCTAACATCCTGAATATGCCAATCATGTCTACAACCAGACCCTCCAGCCTTTGGTGGTCTTCATGTACACAGTTTATATTTACCATATGTTTCCTTATAGGTGGTAGAAAATAACTGTTTTGCTGACCAAAGTAGACTCCGAGTCCCTAGAAAAAAGGGACCACACATCTTATTCATCTTTGTATTTTCACCTACTCTTCCTTCTCCACCATTTGCTCTATCTCTCTTCCTTGCACATAGTAGATGCTCAACAATTTGTTTATTGAATTGAAGCCAAGCCTTCCAGTCAACATTAAGTCTGATGTTCACAAAGAAAGGGCATGGGAAGCCATACCAGAAAAGAATTACAGCCTTGCGATTTAATTCTTCTGTAAGTCTAAAGTTAGACAGAAAAGGACAAAAGGGTAGTCTGCCCAACTTAGCAAGGTTACATGGTCTGAGAAACAATAGACCTTTAGATCTTTTACCCAACCCTGATTTTAGAATAGAACTGAACATACCAATCTGTCAGCAGCCAAAGGATGATGTAAAAGGATGTTCTTGATGTTTAACATTCCCAAATTCCTTCTCATACTATGAAAGCAAAGAGATCTATAATCATCCTTTCCTGGTTTGAAGATTTCCAGGGACTGCTCATATTGCAAACCAGTAACACCATCCAATATAAGATGCCTCATTAATCACTAAGAAGTTGGAAAGGTCCTGACAAGAGATCTCTTGCCTTCAGAATTGTTAAGATCTTTTTCAACTGTTGGATGCCAACCCTTGCCCAATCATTTTCCATAACAATATCTGCATCTAGTGCCTTCAGCGTAGGGACACCGAGAGGTCTCTACAGCTTTAACACAGGAAATCTGCTCCCTTTTTCAAAGTACCAACCTGACAAATAGCCTCCTAAACATCCCTTGAAGAATCTGTGATAGTTGTCTTCAAAACAAATTAAAGAACTTCATTTTTCTAATACCATTCCAGGCATAATTATTCTGCTACTAATCATTATTCTACTCTGTTCAAGCTCAAGAAGAAATAACACAGGACAACTTCAGGTCCTTTGCAATGTCCATTAATCTTTCAACGATCTTTGCATATATTTTCAAAAATTGAGCACTGACCTAATTACATGACCATCATCAAGATTCTAGGCTTCTGTGTCATCTGAGCCAGTCTAATCACCCTCTGCTTAAATCAAGTACGAAAGTATGACATGCTGTCCCAATCCTCGATTGCTTTATACTAAACCAACATACTTAGCAGTCACTGCCCAGTATGTAAATATTCAATACTAAATAACCCTGTCCAACAGACCCAAGCATTAGGCACCACTTAGGCATGCATTTAGTAGCTGATTCATCATGGAGGACCCATTGGGATGATGTTCTACTTAACGTCAGCTATTACACTGGACCAAGTCAGAGTTTTCTTTCAATCAAGGCATTAAATTATTACTATCTCTCCTATTTTCCAGAATAAGAGCAGTGTGTTTTTTTCTCATCTCACTGGGACAGAATTCATTTATCTCAATCAAGTCTCGAGTGGTGGGGAAGATGTAAAGTTTTCATAGACGTCTTTTCAGCCAGTGCTGGGGGGGCGGGGAGAGGGTCTGGGCCTCCTGGGCAGAGTAGAAGACCAGGTCCTACCACGACCAAGTGTTGGGAGCCTCCTTCCAGCAGCCCAGAACAGAAACTTGAGGGGAAAAAACTCAATCCTGACTGCAATCCAGCAGCAGTGGCTCACCAAAACCCCACCGAGACTCTCGAGAGAGAACCTAGAGAACTGGCCAACTGTTCCTTCTCTACAGTCCCACACTGCACCTGTGTGAAGACCAAGGGGAGCAAAGGAAAGAGCATTTGAGTTGGTCCTGGGATGACAGGTCATCATCGGGCTGTGAGTGGATGTCACATATTCACCCTTTCGCCAAGGTCCAGGCTGGGCAGCCCACGTAGTCAGTCTCTGTATAGACTACAGAAGTGCACTGTGAGGATGTTGCCCTGCGTTACCTGAAGTCTCCCTCATAAGGACCCAGACCATAACCTCTGCCTGAGTAGCCAAACTCAAACTAAGGAAAACAGTGTAGCTTGCCTTTCTCATTTTACCATATTTATCATAAAATTCAGCAAACTTCGGTAGCTAACCAGAGTAATCTCAATGAGACCATGTGCAAGGCCTGTTTATTCATCTCCTTCTAAATGGCCTTTGCTCTGTTTTATCCTTTATGTATGTTCTACTCAGTCTTGTAAACGGCTTTAAACCATATGCAAGAGATATGTAAAATATGCCATTTTTGTAAATGTCTATCTTTCCTGGGACAATCTTACCTGCATATGAGCCTATTTTTCACCAAGGCTGTAAAGATCTCCTGAAATAGTTGATGCTGGGGATGTTTGCTGAAATTCCTCTCATTCTTGTAGTTTATACTGAGATGAAACAAACAGAAAAGTATTTCATAACAAAAAATTATTTAGGATGCTGCAAAGTTACCAAAGAATGATCACCTGTATTCATGCAAATGTTCAGGGATTCTTGGATTTTAATATATTGCCAAAGGCAAATATCAGTTATTAAAATAAGAAAAAGAAATGCAGTTATAATGCAGTTATAAAGTTAACATTAAGATCACAGTCAAACATATATATTTCATTTTACCACATTAACTAACTTACGCCCTGCAAACACTTAACAGCTATAATTGGTCAGAGGAAGGAGAGGAGTATGTGGAAAGAATGATTGGGGCGCATTATTTAGACAGCTGAGCAGTACTTAGAGAATTCTTCCCTTCACTTTTCTACCCACTGTAGAAAAGTGGGTAGAAAAGTGATGGCTACTATAGCTATTAACCCCAGGCGTTATCACACATATTTCCTTGTAGATAGTGAGAGTTTTTTGTTGCTGATTGTGTGTGTGTGTATGTGTGTGTGTGTGTGTGTGTGTGTGTGTGTGTTTAACGAAGTCCAGCTCCGGCTTCTTTTTTCTGGTATTACAGTCATCAGAGGTAAAAAAATATCCCAGACATTATACTTTAGAACTGGGAGAGGATAAGCGATAAATGTACAAAAGGGTCACATTGCTACAGAAGATATAGAACATTTTTGTGCAATGTTAAAGTAGACCAGCTTTAAGATCTAGGCCTAATAAGCTGTGATCACATAAACACACCACCTCGAAAGCAATTTGTGGACCCTTACACGGCCATCTGTACTGTCTGCCTTCACAGACAACAGTGGACAGTGTGTCCCTACCCTCGGCAGGCAAGGGTTATAATGGTGTCTTAGTACATGGACACTGGTAAACTGAATATGTAACAATTTTTAAAGAATTTAGCATCCCTCACTAAAACTGTATCTTAGATATATGAACTTGTAACATCATGTGACTTTTTTTAACTACTTAATTCACTGTCATGAAATGACAAGGAAACAAAATCTAGGCCAAATAAATAAATGATCATTCTAGAATATTCATGTTGGCATTTCATGTCACTCACTATTTACGTGGCACTTAGTGCCAAATGACCTTCATGCACCGTAAAACTGACAGAACCAGCTCCTGGGAGGGGAGTGGCCATGGGAACATGCAGCTTCTAGAAGCTCTGCATGGCAACAGGAGAGACAAACAAGGGCTGACATTGTCCGTGTTAAAGGTGAGGTGCAAGCCCTTCCTCTGAAAAGCTCGGTTGTTTTGACAACCACCGTCTTTAGCCACCACATCGTTCACGGCCATGGGTTATTTAATTTCTCCTCATGGCTGGCGAGGTATGGACACACCACGCTGAAGACGAAGCTTGGAATCGGCCTCAGAAAGTCAATACCGTGGAGCCACTTCCTCACGGAGCAAATGCCAATTGCGTGTCACCAAAGTGTCCCGAAGCTCCCAGTCAGTTTCACCGGCAGCCAGTAAGCCTGTAATTTACACACTATTTCTGGGAATTGTTTAGGCACTGACGAAAATTATTAAGAATCCTCGTGGTAAATTTTGAAATGAGTTTTAAATTTCAGCTCCCTTGATAAACTTAGAGAAAGCTTTGGGTTAATTAGAATAGGATGCTAAAGGCAAGGGAGATCCTGGATTTCTTACCTAAAATTTTCAAGTTCAACAGCTTCAGTGGACTCGTGCCACTGACCTCGAGCTCTGTGTCCACCCGCCCTGGTGGCGGGCTCAGACTTCGTCATGCTATTTTGGGCACTATCGAAGGTAATGGCTGGAAGCTACAGAAATAGAAGCACAGAGTACGTGAGGATAACAATTCAGCCCAGGATAAAGAAAGTAACAAAAAGGGGGAGGGGCAGGTGGTGGGGGAAGGGAACGAGTCTTTCTTCAAACCAATAGTTAACCTGATAACCATGCCCAATGGAGGGGTTTTCCAAGATTGAACACCACTGACTTAAACACCACTTACTCTTTCTCTCTCAGACTGCTTCGTTTTCCTTCATAGCTCATCACACCTCCTGTCATATCTTACAGTTATTTATGCATTTTCAGTCTGGAAGTGAACAGGAACTGGCTGTTTGGTCCAATGCCGGGTCCCCCCACCTCAAACAGTGCTGGGACACAGGTCCGCACAAGGCCTGGGCATTAGGATATTTTGAAGTTTCTCAGGTGATTCAAATGTGCAACCAGGATGGGGAGTTTCAGGGTCTAGCCAGAACACGCTTGTATAGAGTGGAGCCCCAAACTGAAAGTCATCATTTGTTCATTCCATCCATCCATCCATCCATCCATCCATCCATCCATCCATTCTTCAACATTTACCAATCATACAACACTACTTGCCAGGTGCAATGGATATAAAGGTAAAGAAGATTCTATCACTTTCAATTAGTCTTAACCTCATGAAATTATCTATAATAAAAAAGGGTAATATGCTAATTAGACCGGACATCTTCCAGATGTCATTCTGTAATGTCCTTCCTGACGAAGCCAGGGCCAGAGGGAACCAGCCCGGGTCCTGGGTGCCTGCTGGTGGCTGGAGGAGGGAAGCCCATTCCCGGGTGCTGGAGGGAAGCCTGTGCTGGCAGCTGGGGGGAAGGAAGGCCTACTCTTGCATGAATTTTTGTGCATCGGGCCTCTAGTATTATGTAATTCACCATATGAAAAGTAAAATGTGCTTAAATCAACCACAACAACTTGAGCATGCTCCATTTACAACAGGAACTGGTAATTACTTACATAATAAATTCTCAAGTTATCAGCATTCAAATCGTTTCATTTACTAATATGTACTTACAAGTGGGATAACCTTGAGAATTGCTTTTGTACCACAGTGAAGCTGAGCATAGTGCAAACAAATAGCCTATTCTTCCCAAAGTACAAACAAGGGATGTTCTATAATTAGCTAAATTACTATGTATTAGGTAAGTAGAGCATAATATAACAGGATAATGCATCCAATTTTCAGTAAGTTGTTTCATTCTACATACCATATTTATCAAATAAAGCTATAATATGTCGTGCTTATCTTATTCTATCAAAATATTTGATAGAAATCTGCATAAAGACATCATTTCCTTATCCAAACAGAATGTCTGACTTCCTATAAGGCAGTCAGCTTATAAAACAATGCATTATCATGAGAATATTGTTAAATAGCTAGCAAAAATAAAAAATAAAAAAACTCAGAATCCTTCTTCGTCATATGCAAGCCACAGTTGAATTCTCTCAAAATAGTAATATAAATCTTTCATCCTGTAAAACAGGATGTTGTGTCTTGTGGTGGCTGTGGATTGGCCCCACTGAGGTAAATACCATTTCACAGATGAGAAAACTGAGGCACAGAGGGGCCAAGTGACTTGCCTGAGGGTCACACAGCTAGCAAAGGACAGAGCTGAGATTCAGATCTAGACAATCTCCCTCCCTCTCCACCGTGCTCAATCCTCCAACATCTATTTATCTCCAATGAGGAGAAACACACTCTTGAGTCATCCCATGTGCTTTTCAGAGGTCTCCTTCACACTGTTCCATCCGTCTTCCAGTCCAGCATCATCACCTTTCACAGTATTTGAAAGGACATGATTGTCTTTTTTGTCTTTTTTTAATTGTCTAAAGTTTTACATGTCTCCTTTTTCTCCGATTGACCACCCCTCCCAGCCATCGCCACCCCCAAGAGCAAGCCCCCACCGCCCCAGTGTCTGTGTCCATTGGTTATGCGAATATGCATGCATACAAGTCATTTGGTTGTTCTCTAACCTCCCCCTCCCCTGCCATTTGTCTCTGGATCTATTTTTGTTCATCAAATTTTGTTGATCATTATGTCCCACATAATGAGTGAGATCGTGTGATATTTATCTTTCTCTGACTGGCTTATTTCGCTTAGCATAATGCTCTTCAGTTCCATCCATACTGTTGCAAATGGTAAAAGTTCCTTCTTTTTTAAAGCAGCATAGTATTCCATTGTGTAGATGTACCAGTTTTTTAATCCACTCATCTGCTGATGGACACTTAGGCTGTTTCCAAATCTTAGCTATTGTAAATTGTGCTGCTATGACCATAGGGGTGCATATATCCTTTCTGATTGGTGTTTCTGGTTTCTTGGGATATAGTCCTAGAAGTGGGATTACTGAGTCAAATGGGAGTTCCATTTTTAACTTTTTGAGGAAACTCCATACTGTTCTCCACAGTGGCTGCACCAGTCTGCATTCCCACCAGCAGTGCACGAGGGTTCCTTTTTCTCCACATCCTCGCCAGCACTTGTCATTTGTTCATTTGTTGATGATAACCATTCTGACACGTGTGAGATGGTATCTCATTGTCGTTTTGATTTGCATCTCTCGGATGATTAGTGACTTTGAGCATGTTTTCATATGTCTCTCGGCCTTCTGTATGTCCTCTTTCAATTTTGTTAAGTTGTATGAGTTCCCTGTAATTTTTGGAGATTAAACCCTTATCTGAAATAGCATTGGCAAATATGATTGTTTCTTTAAACATGTCAGGTGACTCGTTCTGGAGGGCCTCCCCACACTCCATGCTCTGAGGACAGACAGCCCTGTGGAGAGGCCTTCCACCAGCAAACAGCACCGCCTTGGCAGCCCGTGCAGTGAGTCACGTTGGCAGTGGGTCCTCCAGCCCCAGGGATGTTGACAGGACCACAGCCTCGCTGACACCTGACTGCAACCCCATCAGAAACCTGAGCCAGGAACAGCTGCTTTGAATTCATGACCCACAGATGGGTGAGGGACAATAAATGACCTTTGTTGCTTTAAACCACTAAGATTGGGAATGATTTGCTATGCAGTATTTGATGACAAATCCACCACAGAATAAAATAAGGACCCACAAGGCCATACAATATAAATACATAAGTGAACAAACAAAAAAATAAAAAACCATGCCCCAAGTTCTGGCTCCATCAAACTGGTCACCCATCCCGGAACCACCGTAGTGTTTGACAGTCCATGCCTGGGCGTGTGCTGCAGCTATAACTCCGGATCGCCTTTCAGGGCTCAGCTCCAACAGCCTCCTGGTGCGCACCTGCCCAAGCCTTCCTGGTTGAACTGTTCACTCCCTCCCTGGTGGCATCACTGTGCTGATCTCTCGTGGAGCACTTATCACAGTTTAGTGTGATGTCTAGTTGACACATCGGCCTTTCCTCCTCGAATTTGACCACCCTGAGGGCAGCACCTCTCACAGAGCCTGGCACATAGGTGTTCAAATGTGAAGCTGCTGAATGAATGCTCACTTTGTCCAGTGTCTTGCGAATCTGATTTATCTGGTATGTTACCTCCAGCCAAGTTCATCCATTCTCATGTTTGTTGCAGACACATTGTTTGCCAGATGATGTGTGAGACACTGGGTATAAGTAAGCAGGATGGCCATGGCCTCTGCCCTCAAGTTTGCAGACCCATGAGGGTGGGGAAGGGGTTAAACTAGCATAGGAACATGCTGAAAAATTAGTTGTGGTGGAAAGTAAAGGGAATAGGGTGGGCCATGGACCAGGATGCCGGGAGTAATCCAGAGTGTTCTGGGCAGATTTTTACGCAGGCTGGAGGGCAGAGAAAAACTGTGGGTACTTTAGAAACTGAAAGCCACCTGGGCAGCTTCAATAATATGAGTGGGAAGGAAAGAGAGCAGAGAATAAAGCAAAGGGCCTTCCTAAAATTTTGATCATGTAACTTCTACTTGGAAAGGTCAACATTCCCTGTCGCTTATGGATCCAGCACAGCATTTGTAGATGGGCCATCAGATACTGCACGACTTCTTCTAGCTTCATTTATCACTGCTCCCAGGAGAAATGTACAGTCACCATTTGGCTTCTGCAATGCTTCTTTTCTTTCCTTCAGATATCTCATTACTTTATTCGCTTCACCTAGAATGTCTTTCCCATCCATTCTGCTGATGAAAAACCAGCGCATTTTTCAAGAACCATCCTCCTTAAAATCTGTACCCACGTCTGTACCATTCACCCAGGATTCTGATCCTGCCTTGTCATGTACCGGAACTGTCTTTCCAACACTTGGTCTGTGAGACCACTAGAACTGTACCTTATACTTTTTCTTTCCACAGCATCTATCAAAACCTTTTATTTCAGAGGCATTTAATGGACCTGTCATTAATTAATTTCTTTATCCTATTTATTATTGCAAACCAATTTCTCAGCTCCCTATGGCTTTAAATGTGTGTGTGTATGTTGTGGGGGTGGGGTGGGGGGATGGCGGGGTGGAAAGAGGGCTGAAATTCCAGCTCTAGGCAGATTATTTCAAGATTTGTGAAAAATGGCCTGGCCTAAGTAGCTCAGTGGTTGAGTGTCGACTTATGAACCAGGAGGTCACGGTTCAATTCCCAGTCAGGGCACATGCCCAGGTTGCAGGCTTGATCCCTAGTGTGGGGCATGCAGAAGGCAGATGATCAATGATTTCCTCTTATCATTGATGTTTCTATCTCTCTCTCCTTCTCCCCTCCTCTCTGAAATCAATAGAAAATATTTTTTAAAAAAGATTTGTGAAAACCTCTGGTGAAATCTCCAACCAGAAATATTTTTTTTAAAAGATTTGTGAAAACCTCTGGTGAAATCTCCAACCAATTTGGTAATTTCCCTTTGTTGCAACAACCCTGGAGCAATTATTTTCTGGAATTATTTGGCGTCACTGGGTGACGATCACTCTAACCCTGCTTATGATAAAGGCAGGCTTACATCTGCCTCGGTGTGTGTCTGCCCCCACTTCTGTCGCACTGTGGGACCGTCCCACGGAGCAGCAGACGCTAATGTGCTGAAGAGCAAGCAGGACCAACAGCAAAGGCAGACACTGGAACACAGGAAGCAACGAGGGAAGTGGCGGGACTCATTAGATTCAGATGAAGGACACTCAGTTCTTGCAATTCTCTGCCCAAACCCACAAAGTATATTTCCTCTTCAACTGGTTGACTGGCCATCTTGGCCCATTTACAAATAACAGGCCAGGACTTGCTGGAACCTAAATTCAGGTGAGTGGGCCTTAATCCCAAGTTTCTGATTTCAAACTGACTGCTACTATAAGTCTCAGAACCAATGTGTGCCCCGCTTACACATTTTGATGGGCATTTCTGCCTATGACTCTTCTTTGCTATAACCCTTGTTTTTCTTTCTTCTTGGCCCTGGTTTAATTAATGATAACCTGTCATACTTGATGTATCTTTATAAGCCTCCTTACTCTCTTTCTGGAACAAGTAAGCTATCAATAAATTCTTGATTTATTCCCTCCAATTTCTTTCTTCTCCTATAAATGCCTCTACACTATTTTATGGAAAGGAGAATAGGATGTTCAGAATAAGATTTATTATTTTAGAATTTAAAATGAATGAAAGTTTTATACACAGAATTAGGAATGAATTTTGTGAACCTCGGGACCTTCACATAGTTGAGCAGTTATTTTTATAGAACCATCTGCTTTCTGAGTAATTAAAACATTACAAATACACATTTTTATACATGTGAAATATTTCACAGAAAGATAAGCCATATGAACTTGTCAAACAACAGATTGAAAATTCTAAAACTGGTTTTAAGGGCAGAGGGAAACTATTCAATTCACTTTCACTAACAGCCAGGTGTTGAAAGGGGACACAATAGATCTAGTGCAGCATGAGCTTCAAAGGTGGAAAACTACTGCCAAAACCACCATTGGTGATTCTTTTACCCTGGCTAGAGGGTTGTTATGCATACCCATGTGGTAACCCAATTCTTAAGACACAGTTCAATTTGGCAAAAACTGACCAAGAATTCACGGAATAGAGGATACAGTGAAGCAGAGGCTTAAGTCAAAGCTGTTGGCATTGGGAAATCTATCCTCTTGCCAGGAAATCAGACGTGTAGACAAGAGTTTCCAAAACAGTGGAGAAAATAATGCTACGAGAGTGAAAGATGGTGCTTTGAGAAGAGAAAGGCTCACTTCTAGAATGGAAGGGAAAGGGAAAGCTTTTTGTGGAGGTGGCATCACTAGATTTGAGTCTTGGAAATAGGTAAGAAATTTGGGAGAAGGGAATAGGAAGAAAAGGCAGAAGTCTGAAGATATGGTAACAACTTGCAGTGAGAGAGAATGGGAACTACAACCAAAACTGCATGCTGAGTCATCCTGCTCACCTTCCTAAGGGAGAATGGGCTGGATTTGGGGCAATGATTCATGAAGGTTGTGAGCAGTGAGCCAGAAGGAGACTAAGCAGTGTTAAGACAGACAAAGGGTAAGAGTGACTGCTGACATCAGCGGGTGAAAAGAAAGGAATTACTGCGAGGGGAGTGAGGATGTGGCATTAGTAACAGAGAAGAAGGAAGTGACAGGAGAAAATATGTTTTAAGGCCACGTTTACTCCAAATCAGAGCTTACTCGACTACTTTTTTAACTGTACATGATTGAATTTCCCAAGTCATTTAAAAGGTATCTCAGTGGTTAGAGGCACGCATTGCAGAGATGGCGTGTTTGAGTTCAGATCTGTCTTCTACCATTAGCTGTCTGTGTGATCTTGGGAAAGTCATCTAACCTCTCTGTGCTTCTGGCTCCTTACCTGTAAAAGGGGGAGCTTTGGTTGTTATGCAGGGTAAGGCAGGAAAAGCATCAGGCACATAGTAAGTGTTCCCTAAAATGAACTATCATTATTTGGCCTTTAGTTGCCATCAAATCATTAGAAAGTCATTCTTTGCTATAAATAAATAGAGAGAAATGCTGCAGTTCTCTGCCAAGTTCGGTTAATATAGCAAAGGCCATCGATGTTGAGTTACCACCACACGAGCTCTTAAACAAGTGAAACGAGAATAGCGTAGCAGGGTTTGGAGCCATGCCACCACGGTCAAGTCCCATCCCAGCCACTTACTAGTTAACAGTGCTAAGTAAGTGTCTTCTATTATTATTATTAGCATTGCTGGGTTGGTTCCCAAACCTCCAGGGGGGTGGCTTTTAATCTGATGCCTCTCCAAAGTCTTACAGAAGCAAAAAAAAAAAAAAGATATGTGTCCAGATAAATTCCTTTTTCTGTCTAATAAAAATATAAAAATACTATTATAAAAATAGCCCAAACTCACTCCTTTCCCCTCTTTTCAGTAAGAGACAATTTGCAGCATCCTCAGGAGCGTTGCTGTAGCAGGTGGGCAGCGTGAGGGGGTGAAGAGGAGAAGAAGGGAAATGTGGTGAAGAGTGTTTTGAAAAAATCACTTGCCCCAAAGCTCTGAAGACTTGAACATTGAGCATTCAATAGAAGACATGCTGTTTCCAGACCTGAGAGCTTTGGTAATGAGGACACATGGCAACAAGCATAGAATAGAGCGGGTCCAAGGCCTGAGAGGAGAAGAATGAAAAAACTATGGATGCCCCAAGTCTTGGCAGGTATGAGAGGAAATGAAAAGACTATGGATGCCCCAAGTCTTGGCAGGTATGAGAGGAACAACTGAATAAAGAAAGACAAAATATGCAAAAGAAAAAAGAGAAGTAGGCATATCATTCATAAAGATGTTGAATGGATCCCTTTGGAAACACGTGATTCCCTTTTTATTGATGTCCACACCTTCTTTGAAAACCCTACCTGTTGTTTGCTTGATTGGACGTTCAAAAGGCACCGAAGTCTTTTAAGATCTGAATAGTCCCTAGGAGAAAGAATACCACAATGTCAGCCAGCAGAAGACTCCAGGTGAACTAGGCATGTCACCCACTGATGGCACTGCCACCTGGAGGCCTGTTTTTATGGACATACGCACACTAAACACTTCTTTAGAACTTTGCAAATGGTCAAACATTACAGTAAACACCGCAACCCAGAGTAGCAGAGGTCAAGGGTCCACGCTATTTCTCAGAAAACTATTAAATCTGATTGCTGGCCACTGCCTGAGTTCATAATTAGCAAAGACTCAGTATGGGGTTACCTGGTGGTGGTGATTCCTTGCTGTTTTTTATCGGTTGATTTTTCTGTGGTCTTCACCTTCCTGTCTTGATCAGGCATTGTAAAACGTCAACGCCCCAGAATTAACATTGCATTCCTTTCAAAGTAAACCAGAGGGAAAAACTTTAGTTGGGTTGGATGCTCCAAAATATTCTCAGTCAAAAAGTCATTTATAACATTTACTTAAATATGCAAAAAAAAATATGTCCATATGAATACCATTTACTATTCTCATCCGTAGGCCTCTGGGTACATTTAGAGAATGGTTTATAGTACTCCAGAGCCTATATTTTCTAAGTCATCCTTGATTTCAAACATTCTACCCATTACTACAAATAAGTATTGTTCTGCATGTCAGGAAAAGTGTCCTCATTTGGGGTTTCTAAAATATGTATATCTATAAGCAAATACCTACATCCCCACTGATGCTATTATGCCTTCTTACTTGTCTTTCTTGACAAGTATCCTTGACCATAGCTGCTAGTTAGGGGTTCCTCCCTCACCACAGGTCATGTCCATAAGAGTCCCAGAGAAAGCCTTATCCACTTGCAAATAAGCATTACAGTGTCCAGATCAACGCACAACATGTCATTGGATTTCCAGAATTCCTAAGTGTTTGAATCCCCACATGGATCAATTCCAGTAATAAGCTCTTCTGCAACAGTTGGACAGGCCCTGAACTCACTCAACCATCTTGTTAAAAACAATTCAACAGCCCTAACCGGTTTGGCTCAGTGGATAGAGCACTGACCTGCGGACTGAAGGGTCCCGGGTTCGATTCCAGTCAAGGGCATGTACCTTGGTTGCGGGCACATCCCCAGTAGGGGGTGTGCAGGAGGCAGCTGATCAATGTTTCTCTCTCATCGATGTTTCTAACTCTCTATCCCTCTCCCTTCCTCTCTGTAAAAAAAAAAAAAAAAAAAAAATCAATAAAATATATTTTAAAAAATTTAAAAAACCCACAATTCAACAGACCCAAAATGGAGTCACTTATGCTAAGCCCCACATTACTGAACCAAGACTTACTCACAGTTTCAGCTCGCCCAGAAGTGGAAACTTAAACCAGCATTAGCTAGATAATCTACCTGACAAACTCCTACCATCCCCTTTCGGTAAAGCAACTTTGCAGCAGCCGGCCTGCTTTCTGCCGAGTGCAACTTCCTCATTCCTGCTCCATTCTGCCTCTAAAAGTCTTTCTGTTTGTACAGCAACTCAAAGCTCCTTTCTATCTGCTAGATTGGATGCTGCTGCCCAATTTATAAACTGCTGAATAAAGCCAATAAAAAGTTTTAAAATTTACTCAGTTGAATTTTGTTCGTTTAACAAGTGGAAGAGTGCACCTCAAAATACAACCCGATAGGCATTTCAGTTTTCTGAATTGAGCTTTGTGGTCATTGTCAACTTTCCAAGATCAACTTTAGTACTATTCCCCACCCCCACTCAAAATACGAGTTCATAAATGGGCAGAACAATTTATTTGTTTGCTTTTTTACCCTTAACAAACTTCTCATTCAATTGTTTTAGGTTCCAGAATAGAAACAAAAAGGAAGTTTAAGATACCCAGACTTTCAACTCTTTAGCAAATGCAAAATTAAGTATACTATTAGTTTAATTTGACTGGATGCAAATATTTCCACTGTGCCTCAATGCCATAGCTTGACTTCACGGTGTGTTTTTCAGGCATGAAAAAGCACGTATTACTGTCTTATAACTGCATGCCTCGATGTATTGTGAAATCAATGATCGGCATCCAAGTGCTTCAGAAGTATTTAGAGGCAAAAAGAATTGCCAATGGGTGTTCCACGGCAACAGAATCTAGTAAAATTTAATTTTGAGAAATGTACAGACAGTTTAAGGAATTAAAAATTATTTTCCCAATATAGTTGTCATATTTGTGACAAAGAGTTGAGCTGAAATTAACAGCTGGAGGCCAAGCCTCTCATCACAGATGCACACCGAGAAAAACAAATCGCTGATATTTTAGTCTTGTGCCTAGGACATAACACTATGGACTCATCCATTTAACAAATATGTGTTTACTATGTCTAATCTCAGACAGAAAACTGTTAAAGGCAAAAGAGGCTATCACAATTTTGTGATTCTACCACAAGCAAAGAAAAACCCACTTGGGAAGTTTAAAATATGTTTTGTATGATACTGAGCTACAGATTTGAATTAGCATTGGCTTTACTCAGAAAGAAAGGAAAAAAGAAAGGAAGGCAGGAAGGAAGGAAAGAGGGAATGAAGGGAGAGTGGAAGGGAGGGAGAAAAGAAAAGAAGGAAAAGAAAGGAAAGGAAAGGAAAGGAAAGGAAAGGAAAGGAAAGGAAAGGAAAGGAAAGGAAAGGAGAGAAAAGAAGGAAAGAAAGGCAAGAGGGAGGGGGGTGGAAGAGAGGAAGAATGTATGATATATAAATTATTCTTTAAGCCCGGCCGGTGTGGCTCAGTGGTTGAGTGTCGACCTATGAACCAGGAGGTCATGATTCGATTCCCAGTCAGGGCATATGCCAGGTTGCAGGCTTGATCCCCAGTCGGGGACATGCAGGAGGCAGCCGATCAGTGATTCTCTCTCATCACTGATGTTTCTATCTCTCTCCCTTCCTCTCTGAAATATAAAAATATTTTTTTAAATTAGTCCTTAAAAGATCCAAGTGCTTTTTATAGACAGATATTAAAATACCCCCAGAAGTTCTAAAATAAATGGAAATCCAGTCAAGATAAATAAAATCTAATTTTACTTTTCCCTCAACGACAGAGGGAAAATTCCACATAGACACACTGGCCCTTTGGCTTCCCATTCCTGCTCAGACCACAGCTGTAGACTGTCTTACAAGTAGGGAATGAAAGCTACAGAGATTAGCACATGAAAATGAGTGGAAAAGCTCGCAGGCTTCTTCTGCCAGAGATCACATCCACCGCAGGCAAATCCTGCTAACCACCTACCTTACTCCCCTGCATAATCTCCGTAATGTCATTGACCCGGTCTGTGAACAGGAAATAATCAGCTAATCGTTTTATCAGTTTTAAGATTCGCATTTACTCTCTGAGCCAGAAGAGTGAAAATAAGTAACTCCCTGGAAATGTCTCACTTACTTGAACAGTAAACAAATCCATCAGAATCAGTAGAAACAGACAATTGACTTTATGATAAAAAAAAAAATCCTTTCCACTTGATGGCTGTTAATATATAAACTATTCCAAAAAATAATAACTGAGAATTTGGGAAAGCTTTAAAATATGTCCTCTAATTGTATTATTATTATTTTTTTTAATGATGACACTATACCAGTGGTTATAATCTCAGAATGGGGCCGGGGACAAGGGGGCGGGCTTGGTGGCGGGGAGAGCAGTTGAGAGCTTCAGTCAAGTTGCCCAGAGGAGACAGCTTAGTGAGAAAGTGTTACCAAGACAGGTCCAGCAAGGATGCTCGCTAAGGCAAGAGCTCTCCTGGGGGTAGTAGCTTCAGCCTGATTCCCAGGAGAACTCTGCAGGGTACAGGCTCTGCCTCAGAGCTATCTAAGGCCGCGGGAAGGGAGCCGGGCTTTCCTGCTCCTGTCGTCTTCAGTCACTGCTTAGGGGCCACCAAGAGAGGTCATCTCTCCCAGGCACTCCTGTCTGGGGGCTAAGGAGCCTCTGATAGCTTGGGGGGAGTCCTCCAAAAAAGGAACATTGAAGCCAATACCCGGGACAAACAAACAGGCATAAGGGATGGAAGAGGCTGTGGGCGGAATGCCCACGTCGTCCACTGGGATCACCGACTCCAGTGGAGGAGCTGTGGGTGATGAAGGAACAAGAATCTTTACTGTGGCTCCAGGCTGAGTCCGAGCCTCCTGCAGTAGCTCTCAACTAGTCCCTTGTCCCTGCTCCATTGTTTGACCTCTCCAGATGCTAGCATGACCTTGTGGCCTAGCAGTCAGCTTGGTCTCTGGCCCTCTTCTCTTCTCTATCTACCTGCTTCTCCCTAAGGGATCTCCGGCAGTCCCATGGCTTTATAATTCCAAATGTATACGGTCAGCCCAAACCCCATCCTGAGCTCCTCGATGCGCAGCAGCCCAAATTTAATACACCCCAAACAAAACTCTGGAACCCCACCCCCGGACCATAGGGCCCTCACCTAGTCACTGGCACCACCCAGCTAGTCTAGAGAATGTTCTCCATCCCTCTCCTTCACCTCCCACATTCCAGCCACCACCCGGACCAGTCAGTCAGCGTCTCCACTCCCACTGCTATTGCTCTGTACTCCGAGCCACTGCAGCTCTTGCCTGGACCACTGTCACCACCTCCTCACTGGTTTCTCTGTTTCCACTCTTGCTCCTCTCTATCTGCAGGAGCCATGGGATTGATTTAAAATGTGAATCAGCCTGGCTGGTGTGGCTCAGTGGTTGAGTGTTGACCCATGAACCAAGAGGTCCCCAGTTGGATTCACAATTAGGGCACATGCCCAGGTTTCGGCTCGATCCTCAGTGGAAGGCATGCCTGAGGTCTCTCTCATTGATGTTTCTCTCTATTCCTCTCCCTTCCTCTCTCTCTAAAATCAAAATAAAATTATTTTTTAATACTAAATGAATAAACTTTGAAGCAGATCCTGCCACTCTGTAGTTTACAACCTTCCTGTGGCCTTCCCTGCTGCACTTGGCTTCTAACCATGACTTTCACCTCGGAGCTCTTCTATCCTCTCCCTTCCCTCTCGCTTCACAGCAGCCATGCTGGCTTTCTCCCAGCATCATTCCTGCCTGAAAGCCTGGGCACTTGCCACTCGCTGTTCCCCTCTCATGTTCTCCGGCAGGCTCTCTCGTGTCAGCTCAGATGTCCCCTCCTCAGTGAGGGCTCCCCTGACCAATCTCTACAACATATCCACTCCCACACACCCACTTTTACCACCCCTCCACCCCCCCACCCCCACCCCCGTGTCTGATTTCCTTCTGGAGCTCATCAACATCGGAAACCCTCTTGTCCATTTATTGGTTTCCTTGCACAAGATCATAAGCCCCGTGTGACAGAGATTGCATCTGTTTTATCCACAAATATGTCCCCAGCACACAGAACAGCACTTAGAACAGTGCACGGCACAGTATAAAAACAAAAAATACTTGTCAGAA